ATATATCTGGTGGTAGGACCTCTTGTGAGTCCGCGCGGGTGGGTACCACCACCCTGCCTATTTCTGCCGTGAAGCAGTAATGCGTTTCGGTTTGAAGGGTGGGGCAGCCGTTGTAACTATAGTTGAGACCTTAGAACTTGTACCTCAAGGTGGGTGGCGCATTTACGTTGTAGATGTCTATGGGCTCCAGTAAACACTTAACACCAGGTGGGCTGTGAGCTCGTCCACCCATCTAAGCAATAAAAAAAAAAACCCAAGCAATACTCACAGCTTCTTCCAAAAACTCCTTGATCTTCGACAGTTCATTCTCGTCGATGTCCTCGTCCATATCATCCTTGGTGCTGGTCGCCGATTTGCTGACTTCCATTTCGATATCAGTGAGCGTGACGTCATCGCTTTGCCCTTGACTTTGCGTTTGGGAATCCACCGTTTCCGTGGGCGTTTCCGCTTTCTTATCTGTAATTAAAAACGATGTTCGACTATTTTTTGTTTTGTTTTTTAGCTGTACTTAAAAAAAAGTAGGAGATTCTCAATCCGACTGTTTCTTATGTAATTTTCATGATTCTTGCAAGTTGGTGTTTTTCATGTTAATTTTATTAAAATCTGACCAGTACTTTTCAATTATCTTTTATGATGCATAAGTACTTAATTGACTATGATGATATTCTATTTTGCTGCTTCGATAATATTTTAATTTCAGTTTATCGTAGAAGGTTTTCTTTATTGTTAAAATTTTGTATTATGATACGTTCTTAGCGATATAGGCACAAATGTGTTGATATGATAATTTGTCATTTTAAATGCTTGGATCTCTAGATTAGCATGCCGCTGGACCAAATTTATAACGTGACGTTTTCTGTCAAGACACGTATACTATGACTTTAATTATTTTATCGAGAGATTCAGGCGATTTCTGCTCGTGGAAAGAGTCATGAAATACGACTACAGTAAAAAAATCTCAAATCCCCAACGATAAAAGGATAAGATGGTGGTCCTACTGGTGGTAGGACCTCTTGTGAGTCCGCACGGGTAGGTACCACCGCTCCGCCTATTTCTGCCGTGAAGCAGTAATGCGTTTCGGCTTGAAGGGTGGGGCAGCCGTTGTAACTACACTTGAGACCTTAGAACTTATATCCTCAAGGTGTGTGGCGCATTTACGTTGTAGATGTCTATGGGTTCCAGTAACCACTTAACACGAGGTGGGCTGTGAGCTCGTCCACACATCTAGGCAATACAAAAAAAAAAAAAAATTCTATTGTTATTTCCAGTCTACCCGCGTAACTGGTCCAAAACAAGACTATCGCTCGCAAGTTAAAATCAACATCGTTATACATTAGTTTTATACATTTAAATGCATAATGTTCAATTAAAAAACCGGGTATTCCACTTTGATGAATTAATGCAGCGGTAAATGCCTAATCAAGAAAGATCGTTATTTTTTTGTTTTTAGATACCGCCATACAATTTCGATTATCGAAAATGCCTGAAATTTAATTATCGAAAAACGGAGGCACGTCAAAAATAATATTTTAATTGCCATAGCAAAATTTTTTTATATTTCAATTTCGAATATTTTTTTATAGATTTTTTTTAAGTTTGTACTACGATTCGAAATCTTTTTTATATTTAAAACAATGTACATAATAATAATCGTTATACCTATTCTACATAAAAAAAACTATAGGTCGTAAAAAGGGGTATCTTACAAAATTAAATCTATTCCAGCAGACCCGACTGGAAATATCGACACGCTCAAAAAATATCATAAACCTTATATCATTTTATGTAAAAAAAATACCAGGCCACTATAAAATATAATATAATAATATACTTTAAAAATAATAATATAATACCAAGTATTTACTAGTCGAAGGAAGAGTAAGTCTGTACGGGTTGATACCGCACCTTTAGAATTATAGAAAGCCGACCCAAAAAATGTGTTTTTGGAAAACGTCGAATAAAATTTTCAAACCGAAAAGACGTAGAGGAAAGGGACAGACCGGCCTGAATGAGGCCATTGGATAGGTTTGTCCCTTTCTAAGCTACTTTTGGTCATTTGATATTATTAAGAGTCCTTGAAAAAGGTCGTTGTAGGTCCATTTTTTTATTAAATTCGAAATCCGAAAATTTCGAAATGGGTCTCTATAATTCTAAAGGTGCGAATTACGATCCTTCGGCCAACCCGTTGTTAAATAGTTACCGGAGGCAATGGAAATCACAACGTAAATGACGTCATCCATCTTAAGACGTGAGGTTGAAGTTTCAATATAATAGATGTTCCACACTTCGGTTCACTGCTTCGGAACAAAAATAAATAGGCGTACATTACGCCCCATCTATACTAATATATAAATCTACAGTAGGTTTTACGGATGTTCTGTTATTAGTACTGAACCGTGCATCCGATTGACTTGTAACTTGGTATCCATGTAGAAAATACATGTACTTAATGGATAGGCTAATATTTATATGAGCGTTGGACTCCCTACACCAGTTGCGGGGGCGTTAATGATGAGAATCTTTGTGGGGGTGAGAATCAATAATGTTAATTTTAAATGCCCAGCGAAGCGGACGGATACAGCTAGTCATTAATAAATACGCACATTATATTTTTTCATATCTGATTTTTACTATGTGTTGTTATTCAATAACTAATCAAGATTAATAAAAAATATGTTAACTGTTTACACAGGATTTGAACATAGGCACAGTCCACATTCCTCATTTACTTAAATTTACTAGTCAATGAACGCACAAAACGCAGATTCTATTGTACAATGAGAGCCCGTTAAATTGATTCAAATTAGTTACGTGCGGACAGACCTAGAAGTATGTACTGTGTTACACAATACTGACCTTTATGCATCTTCCTTGCAAATCTTTGTCTTAAGCCTTCTTTACCGGTTTCCGTTTCCGGTTGTGAGATGCTGTAAAATAATTAAACCTTCAGCATAAATTACAGTGCGTTAGCGAATGTAATGACTAAAGGATGATTAAAGGCACTGATAAAATACAAAGACATGATATAATTAAAAACAGCTATGCAAGTTTTTTATTTTTTGGAGTTTACTCCTTTAGAATCGATTTACATATATAGGCCCGGGGTATGAAAATTATGGGGACCAAAATCGTACTAGCATGTCACACGAAATGCGTTATGCGCCTGATTGGCTCCTGATTGCGTGATGCGTGCGCGCGCCAATCAAAATCGTACTAGCATGTCACACGAAATGCGTTATGCGCCTGATTGGCTCNTACACAACTGCATTCGTTTTTACACCTTTCTCACAAAAATGTACCTCTGTTAAGCCCCAATAAGAAACTCCCAACCATACCATGAGCGAGGATGGAAAATGACGTCGTTGGACACGCGGAATACGGTTGCTCGCTTCTTCACTACTGTGTGCGTACACCTTATCATTTTGTTTGTTGTAGCTCTCTTCTACGGTAAAAATTATTTCATCCGAAAAAAGAATTTCCCGATATTTTTTTCCCGCGTACCGCTTCAGCAAAGCGCGGCATCTCTTCAGTCTCAGGTCCATTAGACGAGCATTCAAACGATGTCCTGTTTTTCTTCGATATGCCCGAAGCCCTAAGTCTTCATTTAACACCCTTTTCACCGTGGTTCTGCTTAACCCCATCTGAAGGGCTAACAGTTTCTGCTTACGTTTGGGATTTCTTTGAATTAGCGCCTTCACAGCTTTTATCACTGCTGGAGTCCTGACAGACCGAGGGCGACCACTTCTTGACCTGTCATCTACACTAGAGTCTTCATTGTATCGTTTGATGGTACGATAAACGAATCTTTTGGTTATATTCAAAATTTTCAGTATGTTAAAAATTTGAATTGGCGCGTAACCGCAACGATGGAACGCTATAACTGCAACACGGTCTTCTTTAAGCGTCCACTCCATATTTAAAAATGAGTAAAATTCTAAAAGTATACATTTTTATTTTCATGAACAATTCGAAATTCGAATTCAATAAACTTTTTTGTGGCCAGCATTCTAAAAGAAAAGCTTTTACTGTGTGACAATACTTATGACCTGACTAGGTATTTCACTCATTGCCCATCATGCGTTCAGTTAAAATATATTATTATTCTAAATTAACCTTATACCGGAATTTATCTTCATTTTCTAATCATTTTCCTTATAGAGCCTAACAGAAGATTCAAAGTCAAATCAAAGTACAGCATGTGTGATATCATCAACCATTAGCATAAATCAGAATGAATCGACCCACGATAGTTGATTTATTCGATATTTATTTTTTCAATAACAAAATGTTCCCATAAACTGTGCATTAAAATTTACTGTTTAATTAAATGTTCGTCAATGTTCGTGAAACATCAGTCGAAAGTCAAGTCAAGAAAAATGTTCCCTCCGGTGTACATTTATTTTGTTTTTTTTGATGAGGTATTATTGGTGCTCGGAGGCCTTTCCAGTTTCATCAGTATAACAGTCAGAGGCGGATTATCCGTAAGGCAAACTAGGCACGTGCGAGCTCAGAAATTTTAAATAAATAAAGAAAATAACATATCGACGATTAAGAACTAGATGCTGATCTATAATCTAAATCTATAAAATAGATTATTCCTATTTGGCCTATTTCCCAGAGCAGAGTGGAATCATGAATTTCGATGTGCGTTCTGTCGTCCCTCTTGATTTCCTCACCGTTATAACGTCATATTTCATTCGCGCATTAGCGTAAGTATAAGGGTCCTGGTCTACTAAAGTCTAGGGTTTGATGATACGTCATCGTAATTGCAAAAACAACTAGTTAAAATTTATAGTATTATGATGGCCATAAATGGCCGGTACAGGGGCGCCGATAAAGTGATTGTCTAGGGCGCTCTGGACTTTTAATCCGCCACTGATAACAGTACCTACACTAGTAGTAGAGCGTCTTGTGAGCTCACACGGGCGCAAGTACCACCACCCTGCTTTTGTCTGTCGCGAATACAGTCAAGTATCATTATGTCTTGTTTACAATCTAACCTGTATAATCTTGATCAGATACGGCCAGAAGTTTTTCTCGTAGGCTTCCGAATCTGACGGTAGGGTTTGCCCCAGCGACGAAATCGTAACACCCTCGGAGCCGGTGTCAGACTTGTTCTGAAATGAATATAGTTATTCTCAAAATTATGTGCTTACATATCGACGTGTGTATTTCGTATAAGCGACATTTTTGCAAATTTAAAGTTAAAAATTACTCTTACTGGTGGCAGGACCTCTTGTGAGTCTGCACGGGTAGGTACCCCGCCTGTTTCTGCCGTGAAGCAGTAATGCGTTTCGGTTTGAAGGGCGGGGCAGCCGTTGTAACTTAACTGAATCCTTAAAACTTATATCTCAAGGTGGGTGGTGCGTTTACGTTGCAGATGTCTGTGGGTTCCAGTAACCACTTAACAGCAATTGGGCTGTAAGCTAGTTCACCCATATCAGCAGAAAAAAAAATGTAATGTTGATGCTAATACCGAATAAAACGCATGTTTAATTAGAAAGATAAAATTTCGCGTATTAAACGATTTTTTTTTATTGCCCTTGTAGGCAGAAGAGCATACGGTCCACCTGATGGTTAGTTGTTACCGTCGCCCATGGGCTTCAGCAATGTCAGGGGCAGAGTCAAGCCACTGCCTACCGCTAAAACCAAATAGTCTTTCAACCCTCAAAATCTAAATCATAAAATACTCAAAGTAAAAGCATTAATTGAATGCGCCATTAGTGTTACCGATGTTTTGGCGAAGGCGACCGTGTCCTTCTCGGAGAACTTGTAGACGGCGAGCTCGATGCCGTCTTTGTTCTCATTCGTGTCGTTCGATTTGTCGTCGGGACCGGACGAGTCCGAGGAAGCCGCGTTAGCTTCAGCTATTGCCGTACTCAATCTACGGAACCTGTGGAAAATATGTTAGGGAACCCTGAAGTTGACCTTGGGACGAGAGGTTTTTTTTGTGCTACGATGTATCAAACATGTTAATGCGAGCACCCAAATTGAAACATGAGTTCAAAGTCTCAGTTTTACAGTACAACATCTGCCCCACCCTTCAAACCGAAACATGATACTGCTTTACGGCAGAAACAAGCAGGGCGATGGTACCTACCCGTGTGGGTTTACAAGACGCTGTACCACCAGTAAATGCGCAATTTAGATGTAACTTTTGCGGGTTTTTATTATAATTTTTATGCATGATGCATTATTATGCAATATTCCTTCACCGTGTACCTACCTAAGTAATTTGTGAACATTTATTGAGTACGTATTTCATTAGAAACATTAGTGCCTGCCCGCGGGATTCGAACACCGGTACAGTCCCATCACTTGATACTCATGTACCTACCGGACATCTTATCCTTTAGGTTACGACGATTTCTAAAATATTGTTTCGGACGGTTAGGCATGACTGCTTGAAATAGGAAATTACTAGGCTCATAAGGCGCCTTATTAGTAGTCGAATCTCTGAAAAATCTGTTACAATGAGTTTTTAAATAGAATGAAGGTGTCATGTGCCTATAAACCATATTAGACCTTAAAGCTTCAAATTAAAAGCTATTTTTAGAAATCGCAAGTGATGAACGGGTTATGTACGAAGAAAAAGTACAAGTAACAATAGTTTGTTGCCCGTTTTCTCAAAACTAACAAACTGTATCATATGCCCTTCGTCCACACATGTCTTCTATTATTACATATTCACACTTCATGTATTACCTGCTGATATTTTTGCATTAGCTCAAATTAGGTGAAACCATCTTAAAAATAACCTTTTCAATCGATTTTATACAGATGTATGCGCCACATGACGTCATTTGTGCGGTTTAATAGAAGTCATATAAAAGTTTTGTTTTGTTCTGATTCAGAAAGAAAACCTTTCTAAATTTGTACGAAATTCCAAACAAACGTACGATATGTTGGACGGTCTATTACAGGCGGCCTAAACGAGTTCAGATATTATGCGTAATATTGTAATAATTAGTGATAGCAATTAATATACCATTCAATTTTTATTCACTTAACTGATTCATATATTACTAACTAAAAAATTTCCTAAGGAAATATGCACTTGACTAATAATCAAAACTATTGTAGCGGTAGCTATCTTACAACACAAGATACTTGACAGTTTACGCTTACGACATTTTTAAGATAAGCTTGCATATCTGATCTACAGGTTCTGAATAAGTACATTCGGACCGTCGGTCTACCGAGCAATATCGCCCGCTCGGTGGAAGATCTTTCCTTTGTCGATAATCCCCAAACTGCTTATATTGTGTGATCCGCGTTTTTAATATGCTTTTATTAGCTTCAGACGTATATATATTTGTAACGGAATCTTTGAACATGATTTTGACCCCCTTCAAAACGTCGGATTAACTCGAAATTTGGTATACTTATTAAGGACCGATGACAATTCAATATAAAAAAATATATTGGAAAAATTGAAAATCAACTAAAAAAGAAAAATAAATAATAGTTTAAAAAAAACGAACAAAATACGCTTTTATAGAAAATCCAACTATAAAATAGAAAATAAATTTTAATAAATTTGAATTAAAAATGGTGTAAGAAAAAATGATTTTATTGTAAAAAAGCGTGGGGTGCTTTTCAGGATATTATCAAAATAACTCTTCTACTCATATCTGTTCATAAAATATTTATAACTACTTATACCACGCATTCCACGATTTTTTTACAATAAAATTATTTTTTCTTACACTATTTTTAATTCAAATATGTATATAAAAAATGTATTTATTGTCATTATATTATTTCCGACTTTTCGAATATTGCACAGTTTTCGTGGTCTCACGGAAGACTGTCGTCTACGTCTCGTGAAAATCCAAGAGAATGCTACATTTGGCACATGTTCACGCACGACTTGCACGGTTAAGGAATAATATGGTGTAAAAAAATTTAGTTCGCAAAAAACAGGGTAGGTACAATTCTGCTTATATTTGCTGCGAAACAATCAATATTTTAAGGGTGAGGCAGCCATTACATAATCTCATTCTTAGACTTCGTATCTCAAAATGATATTTTTATTTTTATTGACGTACAGGCAGATGAGCATACGGCCTACCTGGCGGTGAGTGGTTACCCATGGACGTCAGCAATGACAGGGGCAGAGCCAAGCCGCTGCCTACCGTTATTTCTCTTAAATTAGAGGGTAGTTTTTTTTTAAATCCCTGATTCAATATGATCATAAATCGTACCACTCGTGTTTGTCGCGTCCGGTCCGAGCGAATAGATACAAATGCGAATGCTTGTCTTTAGAATGTTTCACGTGGACGCTCCATTCTCCTTCTGTCGTGCCGTCTGCGCCCGTTTCCATTTCCTAAACAAAAAAAAATCCTAATGAAATATGTACTCAACAAATGTTCACGATTGACTTCCACGGTGAAGGAATAACATCGTGTAATAAAAATCAAACCCGCAAAATTATAATTTGCGTAATTACTGGTGGTAGGACCTCTTGTGAGTCCGCACGGGTAGGTACCAACACCCCGCCTATTTCTGCTGTGAAGCAGTAATGCGTTTCGGTTTGAAGGGTGGGGCAGCCGTTGTAACTATACTTGAGACCTTAGAACTTGTACCTCAAGGTGGGTGGCGCATTTACGTTTTGGATGTCTATGGGCTCCAGTAAACACTTAACACCAGGTGGGCTGTGAGCTCGTCCACCCATCTAAGCAATAAAAAAAACCCCAAGCAATACTGACAGCCTCTTCCAAAAACTCCTTGATCTTCGACAGTTCATTCTCGTCGATGTCCTCGTCCAAATCATCCTTGGTGCTGGTCGCCGATTTGCTGACTTCCATTTCGATATCATTGAGCGTGACGTCATCGCTTTGCCCTTGACTTTGCGTTTGGGAATCCACCGTTTCCGTGGGCGTTTCCGCTTTCTTATCTGTAATTAAAACCGATGTTCGACTATTTTTTGTTTTGTTTTCTAGCTGTGCTTCAAAAAAAGTACGAGATTCTCAATCCGACTGTTTCTTATGTAATTTTCATGATTCTTGCAAGTTGGTGTGTTTCATGTTAATTTTATTAAAATCTGATCAGGACTTTTTCAATTATCCTTTATGATATGAAGTATTTGATAGACTGTGATGATTTTGCTGCTTTGATAATATTTTAATTTCAGTTTGTCGTAGAAGGTTTTCTTTATTGTTAAAATTTTGTATTATGATACCTTCTTAGCGATATAGGCACAAATATGTTGATATGATAATTTGTCATTTTAAATGCTTGGGTCTCTAGATTAGCATACCGCTGGACCGGATTTATAACTTGACGTCTTTTGTCAAGACACGGATACTATAACTTTAATTATTTTATCGAGAGATTCAGGCGACTTCTGCTCGTGGAAAGAGTCATGAAATACGACTACAGTAAAAACATCTCAAATCCCCAACGACAAAAGGATAAGATCAAATAATTCCATTGTTATTTCCAGTCTACCCGCGTAACTGGTCCAAAACAAGACTATCGCTCGCAAGTTAAAATCAACATCGTTATACATTAGTTTTATACATTTAAATGCATAATGTTCAATTAAAAAACCGGATATTCCACTTTGATGAATTAATGCAGCGGTAAATACCTAATCAAGAAAGATCGTTATTTTTTTGTTTTTAGATACCGCCATACAATTTCGAGTATCGAAAATGCCTGCAATTTAATTATCGAAAAACGTAGGCACCTCAAAAATAGTATTTTAATTGCCATAGCAAAATTATTTATATTTCAATTTCGAATATTTTTTTATAGATTTTTTAAAAATTTTCTTTATTATTGTACTACGATTCGAAATCTTTTTTATATTTAAAACAATGTACATAATTATAATTCTAGAGAATAGGTATAACGTAGACAGACCTAGAAGTATGTACTATGTTACACAATACTGACCTTTATGCATCTTCCTTGCAAATCTTTGTCTTAAGCCTTCTTTACCGGTTTCCGTTTCCGGTTGTGAGATGCTGTAAAATAATTAAACCTTCAGCATAAGTGTGTTAGCGAATGTAATGACTAAAGGATGATTAAAGGCACTGATAAAATACAAAGACATGATATAATTAAAAACAGCTATGCAATTTTTTTTTTTTTTTTTAGTGCTTATATGGGTGGACGAGCTCACAGCCCACCTGGTGTTAAGTGGTTACTGGAGCCCATGGACATCTATAACGTAAATGCGCCACCCACCTTGAAATATAAGTTCTAAGATCTCAGTACAGTTACAACGGCTGCCCCACCCTTCAAACCGAAACGCCTTACTGCTTCACGGCAGAAATAGGCAGGGCGGTGGTACCTACCCGCGCGGACTCGCAAGAGGTCCTACCACCAGTATTTCTTAACACAATTCAATGTACAATGAGATGCACAAGTGCACGGATGGTATAAAAACGTACTGAACCTAAAACTAACGCCATCTGTTAGTAGTAGATTAAGTGAGGGTTTTGTTTTACTATCGTCGCTTACCTAACAGCACTGGGCAAGTCAAATTTGCATAATAAGAGATGACAAAAAAACTGTATATGTGATATTTTAAAGATTAGATCTGATTTATGTGGGATTCCAAGAATAGGTAGACGAAACGGTATAATTATAGACCTATCACATATATCTGAGGAAATCTTTAGAATACATTCAGTATTTTGTGAGTGCTGTTAGAAAAAGCACAATTAAATTTTTCTAGCGGGGCGTTACTTCCAAAGCATGTATTAAATAAAATAATCAGAGCCATCTTGTTTATTAAGCGTTCACATGTTTTTAAAAGTTCCCTGTCCGTGGTGGAATTGTGCTGGCGACTGTACTTAAAAATATTGTCAGGAGTGGTCAATTTCCACACGATATTGTTTTTTTTCCTACCTAAGCTGGTAATCTGGTTATGCCAGCGTAGTAGAAGTAGACTCTCCCAAGTTTTACAGGCTTAATATTGTTTTGGGCGGGTTCAATATAAACCATTAAGCATACGAATATTGTTTTTCATTTCTAAATGTACATTTTTGTATCTTGGAACTTTACATTCTACGTTTAAATGAATTTATATTTTGACGTGATAGAATATTTTATTAAATTATTTTGTTTACTGATCGTAGGACATATCGCGAACCCTGATTTTCTTATACATCAATCACGGGTACCAGTTTGAAGTGTTGTGGTGGATTTATTCCAAAGCAATACATAGATTGCCATCAATAGAGTTATACCTCTTTTCACGTCTCCGCCAAACAAATTTCCGTTTCTTCTCTGGGCTTGTGTTAGTTTCAGCGCTTTCGGTTTCCGGTGTTTCTTTCTTCTTTTCGTTGGCGGCATCCGAAGTTTTACGCTCCGATGCAGTGGTTTCTTTTTCTAAAACTTGAATCTTTTCTTTTTCGTTTAAAATTACACATATTGGGTATTTTTTGCTCCACTGTCTGTAACAAAAATCAATAAGATATATTGTCTTGATTGGAAGATAATGTATGCAGATAATTTCATTTATACGTCTATAACATAAAACAAGTCTCGGTGACGTATATTTAAATTAGGCTTAAATCTCGATTGGAGTCGGTCAGACCCACAAGCCGAGCGATTAATGAGGAGCTTGATCTATCTTATGACGTCATTATCATTAGACAAAAATACTGCATCAAACTTTTGAAAACCGTTTTTAAAATGGACAATAAATGGACAGACAATTCCATAATAGGGCCGTTGTATTTTTGTTGTTAATTTTATGGGCTACAGCTGCATTTGACGGGTTTGACGTGTGTCAATACAAGTAGTACATATTGTTCGGTAAGGCGTCAGTTATCTATGAAGGGCATCAGTAATCGACAAGTGAACCGCCTTTCGCCGTTTCTCAAGGAAATCGCTTAGAAGGAAACCTTGCGTAATTAGTAATTTATATAATTTTGAATATAGGCAAATTATAGCAGAAGTGTTTTGGGAAAATTGGGACACTTGGACACCCGCAAAATTATAATTTGCGTAATTACTGGTGGTAGGACCTCTTGTGAGTCCGCGTGGATGGGTACCACCACCTTGCCTATTTCTGCCGTGAAGCAGTAATGCGTTTCGGTTTGAAGGGTGGGCCAGCCGTTGTAACTATACTGAGACCTTAGAACTTATATCTCAAGGTGGGTGGCGCATTTACGTTCTAGATGTCTATGGGCTCCAGTAACCACTTAACACCAGGTGGGCTGTGAGCTCGTCCACCCATCTAAGCAATAAAAAAAAAACTTGGGAGATAATTTTTTAACACACAGTACGGGTCATATTATGACCGGAACATAAAAATGAGGTTAAGCGACTGTAGATTAAAACTTTTTTAGTGAATATTGATGAAGATATTTTATTTTTCAAGGCCAAATAATTTTACGAGGTCATTTGCTTATGTACGAGATCTACATTTTTATTTACGCAGTTAAACTATCGCGGGTGAAGAAAAAACTTGATTCGTCTGTAGCCAAAAGAAATTATACAAATTTATTCAAAATTAACTAGTTTGGTTATTCTCAACACTAGTTCGAACGAGATCCGATCAGTATCAAAATCAATAATGACTATAATAATAATAAATAAAAATGTTTTAGCATAATTTGTTTTCTTGAATGGTAAGAACAGTTCTTTTTTCTATAACCCTTGGAAGTATTCGTGCACGCCCTAATGGCCGTTGAGCCGGAAGCTCGGATAGGGTATTGTTTGAATTCTGATCAGTTTTGGATTTCCTCAATATGCCAAATTTATCTCGGCATGGCAGACCTAACTTTAAATCGCTTTACAAACGTTTTACGTAAAACCAACTGGGTAACGCATGATCGCACTCCCCGACCTACCCAGGCTCGGACGTAGGTTGAAAAGCTGCAGTTGGTCAACTCTGATTTTCCTCGCCTGCCATTCGCAAGGCATAGACGAAACGAATTTCCTCGTGACTAAAATGCGATTTACTCGATGACCAAAGGTCACAATCACCCGGGACACGTTCAATTCGCGACCCACGCCACATCCAAAACGTGAGCCGAAATCCTAATTCGAAACCGGAACACATACCCGCCACAAGCCCTTTAGGCTACCAGCAAATAGTTAAAGGAAAGTTGGTAGCCATCATACAACGCAAGACATTTGACAAATGCCAGAATCTTGCTTACGACATTTTCAAGATAAGCTTGCATATATACAAGTTCCGAACGACAACATTCGGACCGTCGGTCTAACGGGCAATATTACCCGCTCACTGGAAGATCTTCCCTTTGTCCTATACCTACAAACTGGTGACCCCGACGTGATCTGAAGGAAGATGAGTTGTGAGAAGGAACAACTCCCATCGGGAAGCAGGGAAGCTTCAGGAGACCGTATAGTAAAGGGCATTGGTGATTGGCATCTGGAGTGAAAATTCCGCCATTTTCCGCCACAACTAATTTCGAGGTAAAACCACGCAATGTACAACACCTTGCAAGTTCAACGCGACCTAGCGATAACGGCGCGTGTGAATCCAAGATCTGCGCTGAGTCAACTTCGTACTAAGACAAACTACCAACTTTATGCCGCAAATGGTTCTCTGACTGCTATTTACGGCGGGATACACTTACAACTCAACATTGGTCTACGCCGCGCCTATAGCTGGCGTTTCGTGGCGGCTGATGTTTCTAAACCAATAATTATTGCTAATTTCCTCCGATTTTACGATTTGTTGGTAGACGCGAGGAACCATCGCGTGGTCGACGGGTTGATATTTCTCTCTGCTGCAACTACACCAGAAAAAGAGGTAAACGACATCGCATCAATCAAAGTGATATCTGGCGACTTCATATATCACCAGCTCTTGCGTAAATATCCCGCAATTACACGTCCAGCTGGAACCCAATGAGAAATCAAGCACGGAACAGAGCACCACATCCGTATGACACCAGGTCCTTTCGTTTCTAGTCGACAGAGAACACTTCCACCTTACTGCCTAAAGATTGCGAATCAGGAGTTCAACGAAATGCTGGCGCGTAGGTCCGAGAGTTCGTGGACATCACCGCTTCATCTCGCGCCCAAAAAAGACAACGTCTAACGACCTTCGGGTACTATAGGGCACTTAACGCGCGTACAATCTCAGACAAATATCCAATCCGCCACATTTGAGACTTCTCACAGCAACTAGCAGGAACGAAAGTCTACTCTAAAATTAACTTAGTTCAAGCTTACCATCAGATACCGATCACACGGCAGATATTTCAGAGATAGGAATAACTACACCGTTCCGATTATTTGAATTTCCATATATTATGCTAACTTATCTTGAAAATGTCGTAAGCGAGATTCAGGCGTCTGTCAAATATCTTGTTATATGATATGGCTACCCGCCACATGCCCCCTTGGGCTACCGGCGAATAGTTCGAGAAAAACAAAATTGGAATATGAATATTTCTTTCAATATTCACAGTGATAATATTTGAAACTACATACTTGTTTATGCAAAAAAAAAACAATGTACACGTGAAGCGTAAGTATTTACATACAATTGTAAGGTTTTCCTGCATTCAATCGTACCAACAATGAAAAAATAATTACAACGTTATGCTTATTACTTAGTTGGTTTGGGCAAATAGTTACATTTATTGTTCTGAAGTCTGAGTCAAGGTATGAACATAAGCGTTCGTTGACTCATTTTTTTCCGCTTCAACAGTATCAATCGTGCGTTGCAAATATAGCTTTTTCTATCGTCTGATATCTATTTCGTACAAAGTACTTTTAATATTTTAAGTACTTGCAGTGTACTGTAAATTGTATATTTTTTATAACATAGACGGTTGGGCGAGGAGTGTATTGTTGAAGTACAAAGGGAAAGCAATGTTGCTGATGACGATGTCGAAGTCAGAGCGAAGTGGAGGAGGATAATAAGGAAAGCTGGCCGCACCACCATGTGGGATAAATAGCTAGAAAGAAACTCAGAGTAAGAGAGTGAGTGAGTGAGTGAGTGAGAGAGCGAGGGAGAGAGTGAGAGAGCGAGAGAGTGAGTGAGTGAGGGGGAGGGGTAGTCCTGAGTGAAGTGGTCTTGAGACATGTGGTCAAAGTGTCAGTTATATTGTAACTGGCACACCTTTAAAACTAGGATACTATTACGTCTATAAATCATCCATTTGTATTTAATCCTAATAAAAAGTGAAATTAATACTTAAAAGCGAAAACGTGTTGCGAAATACTTTCTTTATCGTTTGGAATCCGTTAAAAATGAAACTTTGGTTTAGATTTTTGAACTTTTGAACTCAGAACTTTTGAACTCAAATTAGTTTGTTGGTGGCTTCGACCTTTGCACCGATTTCTATATTATTATTAAATTCGCGATCGTGATCGGGACCTCAACAAGTGCTCTCAGAGGAGTAGATGTTATAAGTAGGAGACCATTTTAAACGTCAAATTCTTAAACTAATTCGCTTCTAGCTAGTTGCAATAGTGACGATTGTATACGAAGATGTAATTATCAGAGGTTTTAATCGTATTTTTGTAGGCTTTGTGGCCGTCAAGGTCAATGCAAATGGTTATACGAGTATTGTGTAACCATGATGTATTAATTAATGGTTTGTATTCCATTTTACATATCTAAATTAAAACAGGTTTAAGCCGGTCGCGAAAACTAATAAAGCTGGTAGACAGATATATTTGCATTTATACCATAAAAAATTATAGAAAAAAGATTATTTAAAATTCATTAGCTGTCTATTTCTGCCGCATAATATTCACGCATTCCGGTTTGAGAGGCCTTTATAGATTTAAATATAAAAATTTAAAAATAAAAAATTATCTTCATGATTTATGTTATGGCGTCTGTTAAGGCTTCGTCAAACAGAAAGCGTAATTAGCGCGCGTCAGGGCGCTAAACTGACGGCGCGCTATGANAAAAAAGATTATTTAAAATTCATTAGCTGTCTATTTCTGCCGCATAATATTCACGCATTCCGGTTTGAGAGGCCTTTATAGATTTAAATATAAAAATTTAAAAATAAAAAATTATCTTCATGATTTATGTTATGGCGTCTGTTAAGGCTTCGTCAAACAGAAAGCGTAATTAGCGCGCGTCAGGGCGCTAAACTGACGGCGCGCTATGATGCCGAGATGTGTAGTACTACTATGGTAACATACTGTCAGACAGAGCCCCAGCGCTATAAATACGCAACGCTCTGTCGCGGCGTTAGGGCTGTTTCTACTTATCTACCTCAGTTAAATGATAACGCACATATAGAGTGGCTAAATCTAAAATTCTTGTTTTTTGGAAAACGCAAAAAATTTAATTGAAGAATTGAAATTTTTTAATTGTTCGAGCTTGGTTTAAAACTGCCGAAAATACTAAGTTTAGTTACGACTAAAAGAGTCTGGTTAATTTTGTAAAACTGATAGAATGCATTTTATAAAGCGTGCGAAGTAAAAAACTTATTTTCTTAAGATTTTTAGTTCAGCCACTTTAATTCTAGAAGTGCGATATACAGCTTTCCGTCGATGGATTATGTAAATAAAAAGGGAAACATGTAAAGCATTTTTGCTTTTTTTTATAAAGCTTCGTAGTCTAGTCCTTACTGGTGGTAGGACCTCTTGTGAGTCCGCACGGGTAGGTACCACCACCCTAACTATTTCTGCCGTGAAGCAGTAATGCGTTTCGGTTTGAAGGGTGGGGCAGCCGTTGTAACTATACTGGGACCTTATATCTCAAGGTAGGTGGCGCATTTACGTTGTAGATGTCTTTGGGCTCCAGTAACCACTTAACACCAGGTGGGCTGTGAGCTCGTCCACCCATCTAAGCAATAAAAAAATAAAAATAAAAGTAAGTAAGTCTGAAGCGACCGAGCCGCGGTCTATCGACTAATCATCCGATTTCGGAAGCATGTGTGTCGTCTCAATGAAAATTATCATTATGTAATAAAATCAAACCCATTATTGAATTGAAATCTATTTGCGTAAATAGGGACTGTTGCGTTGTGACTCTGGAGAGTTATGTACCAGCGTCCTGTCTAAATTTTGCTGCGAAACATCCATACGTTCCATTTTGAAGGGTAAAATATTAAATAAACGACAACGGTTACACAATAACACAATTTGACATTTTGACCTCATTTAATGAAGTACGTTGTGGATATTATCTTAAGATATCCTGTTGATCCAAGATCCTGTTGTGGGTGGCGCATTTACATTGTAGATGTCTATGGGCTCCAGTAACCAGGTGGGCTGTGAGCTCGTCCACCCATCAAAGCAATAAAAAAAAAAAAAGATGTTAGTTAGTTTTAAGCTGACCATGACATTCATTCAGATGCCTAATTAGATTTTTTTTTAATTTCTTATATGGATGGACGAGCTTACAGCCCACCTGGTGTTATAAAGTGGTTACTAGAGCCCATAGACATCTACAACGTTAATGCGCCACCCACCTTGAGATACAAGTTCTAAGGTCTCAAGTATAGTTAGATCTTGAAAATTGACAATATTATTTTTTCGCGATAAAGTTTTCTTGTCCGCCCTTGTTTTTGTTTTGTCGCAATTTTCACTCTGATAAAATTATTTTATTATCGTATTTACAAAGTCAGCGTAACTGCGGGCTGATTGATCGTAATCGTTCGTCAGATACGATTAAAAAAAAGTAACTTTAATTTAGAAATTGATTCGTTTCTACAATAGAGTTTTTCTAATAAGGATTCGAATAATACCTACTTTTCATTTGACATAAATTTTTTTCGTACCTAAATTCTCTTAATATCTCCACAAATACGACAGACAAATTACTGATAGCTAACATTTCTGCTAATAATCACAATAAACCATGTCGAAGAGAATAAAATATCTATCTCGTTTACAAGGAACATCGAAAAATACATAAATAAGTCGTCTATTATCAAAGGTGGCAATCTGTGCATTTGGACAAAAAAATGTTATTGATATGTCAATACAGATTGATTTGAATATAATCGTCTCCTTCAAAGAATACGGTTCAAAACCTGTATTAAATAAAGGTTAATACTTAACCTGTTATTTATCTAAGATGTCGTTCAGAAGAGTTTTGTGATTGCCAATAGAATACAAAGTCAATAATTCGTTTTTCTGATTTACCAATAATTTTCCAAAAGTCACATTGCCGGCTTTGATAATAGTCGACTCAAATATGGGTTTTAATCAATTTAATGTATTACTATTCACTTACCTTCTCTTGACAAGTCCTTTCGGCAGTAATATGATACGGGCACCAGAGAGATTGTACAATCTGTGCTGATAGAACATTACTTTATCAATTTTTTCATCCCAAAGGGCTCTCTTCGCGATCTTCGTTCTAGTGTACGATATCCTTAAATTGCATCCTGTGTACAAAATGTAAAGGTCAATGACACGATAACGTGTTCTAAGACGGAATAGTGGCACGCGATATTTGTACAAGTTACACAAAGACAGCACGCAACACACATTGTTTTCATTGATAAAACATGACGCATCCACTTCGATAAAGCGGCGCGACACGAGAACCCTCTCATCGTGGCCGCCGGTAACTACATTCCCGATCCTGCGGAAAGAATGGAAAGCAGTCGACGTTGCCCCAAACACGTCATTTCGGATCTTCCCGATCCACTAACGGTGCTTTTAGGTACTTCAAGCACCGGTCACCGTTCTCGTCGAACCCGTCGCTCGCTCGCGTCGCTCGACGAGTAAATTAACCCTCAGACACAGCCCACTGAGTTTCTCGCTGGATCTTCTCAGTGGGTCGCGTTTCCGATCCGGTGGTAGATTCTGCGAAGCACGCCTCTTGCTAGGGTTCGTGTTAGCAACTTCGTCAGGTTTGAGCCCCGTGAGCTCACCTACTAGTTAAGATTCCGCTGAAATAGCCTCTCAAGGCTTAGGCAGAAAAAAAAACATGACGCACCTTCTAGTTTCATGAATGCTGTCGTCGTTTTGTTTATGTGGTAGGTGTAAGGATCGTAATCCGGATACCTGTAGTGATTTATCCAGCCCTGAAAACAAAAAAACGTTAGTATTTTGAATTAAAAAAAAAATTAGGTCGCAAATTCGTCATAAACACACCTCATACTTTTTCAAAGGCCTGTGCTCTTTAACCGACGGAATCGTGTATGTAATTGGTGTAGTGCTGCTTCGTTTTAACTGGAAGAAGTTACCCTTCTGTGGTTCCCAGTCACTGAAATAATTGTCTAACAACCAATGTTTAGCGTTGCTTGCGAAACAAAAGAACCATATCCCTAATAAGAAACCATTCCAGATATTCGAATTGGGGAAGAGCATATAGTTCACCAATAGCAGAAACGTAAGTAAATACATTGTAAAGTTAAAAAAATAAGTCTTTGGTCTGTTTGGATTGTTTTGATTTTGTAAATTCGTTTTGCTCGGTGGTAAGCCAGAGTTGGTTGGGCTTGGAGGAGGTGACGGACTTGGTTCGTAGGGTTTAGTATTCTCAAAACCAATTGTATCACAGCTTGTGATGTCTCCAAAACCATCTATATTGTCTTCTAAAGCTTCTATTCCGGACTCTACATCCAACATGCTTTCGCTCATTGGCTCTTTTGTTATGTCCATTGAGTCACTGTTATCTGAAAATATATCACTTCTATCACAAGAGCTATTATAAGTTTGAGAAATTATGTTATTATTAAATATGAATCATGTGATTGAATGATGCTCATATTATTTGTATTGAAAAAGTACCAGTACAGAGATTGTGCAATTGATTTTTAATGAAATGTGTAAATGAATCAATTAAAAATCAAACCAAAATCAAATTTAAGTATTTTATGAACATAATTAACAGAGATAACATACTTAAATTCTTGTGTGTATCGTCACTAGAATCGGAATTATTCTTGTTATCTACAGGAAGACTCAATTCAGTAGGTTTTGCTGTTAGTGGCTGAGTAATTTCTGATAAGTTTTGTATACTGCTGTCTAATGAAGACACCTGTTGGATGCAGAAAGTTTACATCAATATATTAAATATAGATAATATAATATATAAAGCGTCATTTATTCATGTAATTTAGGGTTGTCTGTAATTAAAACAAAATTAACATTTCTAAATTAATATGAAACCTTAAAACTCTTAAAATTTGTTTCTATATAATTTTCTAGCTGAATGGTTCGCAAGCTTTTTTCAAATGTCAGCTTTTTATCAAATGTAAGAAACAGTCTTAAACAAGATTAACATTTAATTTTTTTTTGTTTTTATGAAAATTTATATCTGTAATTTGTGACTGAAGATCCACCTATGTCCTGTGATCATTCTTGGGGTTCAGCAGTGCCAAGGATATGTCAAGTCACTGTTAAGTCTGTCACCTCAAACCATGTTTAAATTGAGTACTGCTTAAGAATCAAGTTATTTTCATATTGTTCTTTTTGAATGTTTTTACCTGATTATCTGTATCTCCAACACTTTGTTGATCTGAATCTTTGACAGCAGAATTTTCTTCCGAGTCTGATATTGAATTATCCCTTGGCACTGATTTTTCCTTAGTTTCTAAGATTAAAAATGTTAATATTATTTTCTATTGTAATACTAGTATTCTATTATAATTCTAAGTAAATTAGTATAGTTTTCTAGTAAAGCAATTCTATTATATTACAGTTCTTGCAAGTCATAGAATTAATAATAATTAACATTTTAGTATTCAATTATATCTGTTATTTTAAATTCTTAGTTTTTGTGGTCACAGGCACTAAGACAAGACAATCCATACAAATATATAATAAACAAGATTAAACCAAAAGACTAATTTAAATTCTATTTATGCCAGTCAATTATGAAAGTCAATATTTGTAATCAAATTACTATTACACCGAATTTATGCGAACTTACAATGTTTGGGTGTCCATAATAGTAGATATGATAGCCAAGTAGTTAGGCACGCATTGTTATTAAAAAAATATTATGTTTTTGCAGCTTACCATCTCCTGATCGAGTTTTCATATCTTCAACAGCTTGCGCTATTTTAAACTTGAAGTCATGGAATATTTTCCAAGTTTCATTGCTACCTTCTTTTGATTCTTGTGAAATATCAGACACATTTTTCTTGCTCAAACGGTTCAGGTAGTCCTTCATCGGAGACGAGGACACTTCCTTTGGAGGTGTTGGACGTTCATCTGATTTAGCATCCACAGGCTTGATGTCCTCTGTTTTTTCCACAAGTTTTTCAGTTCTTATGGACTTGAAGTACTTGTCTATTATGGAGGGTGTTCTATCACCACGTTTTGGACTGGCATTTTCATTTTGTGGGGTCGATGGTGGATCTGTTTGCGGTGTAGGTGGATCATCATCGCATGCATTAAAAAGCTCTTCTAACTCCTCATTATTGGCATTGTACCTAAATGATAATGATGTGTTTGGAGATTTCCCTACAAAGTTATAAAAGGATCACTATGTACAGTTCAGATGCTTTATTTAAACTTGTTCTACTAATCTTGAAAACTATTCTTGTGTTAAATATTTAACAAAAATCAAGGGTAGATAAATTTATATCATCCAATTTTTAAATATAACAAATGTGCCGTTGAGTGAAAACAGTTAACTCGGAAAATAAAACGTTCATTCAAACAATTCAAAACACCGAAAGGTGTTATGAATTAGGATTCGCGAGTGAGTGTTTTTTCTTTGTTGTCAGAGTAACAATATGCAGGAAATTGCGCAAATTTTGTAATTTTTTTTAAATTATTATAAATCATAAGTACAAAAGAGAACCCTAGTCATTTACCATATGGGTTACTCGAGATGCATGTATTTTTTTATAACACTAATTAAATTCTATTAGTACCGACCTGCCCCAGACAATTCCATACTTATTGTATCAAGTAAAAAATAAATTATTAAAAATCATGACGTTTAATAATTAAAACTAATAGTCCACAAAATTTCCTAATGTTTTTAAATATTCGCCACAATCAATTCAAGTTACACAGAAATCACAGAAAAAACTATGATAAGATGTCAAAAATGTCAAAAAGTGCAGTGACAATGACAAACAAAATCACTAGTTTTAAAGCTTAGTGAAGTGCAAATTCTGAAAAAATTAAATCGACTAAGCTTTAAAATTTTGGAAACAATTAATTGATGCATTTATATGTCTAATTTGCTGATTTTTCAGCTATATACTAGCAATAATAAATCATCACTATTTGTTTGGCTTGAATGACCTCAAAGGGTGAAGTTTGCCTATAGTTTGAGGCAAACATGATGGAAGTTACACTTTCTATCACAATTGGTGATTATGAGATATCCACTCATTGCCAGCATTGTTCGCTATTTTCTTGGTCTGCAGGTTAGTTTAATGCATTGAGTTTACTGGGACTTCCACGCTATGCGTTTCCTGGCGAATTCATAAGAACTGACTGTTCTTTTCTAAAAGTTGAATAAATTTTATAATATTTTATAATAAATTTTATAATAACAGAAATAGATGGATCTGAAGATTGCTAAATAGGGCTTGTTGAAAATTCTGAAAATACTGCTTTAGCATTGCGGATATGCTGTTAATTTTTAGTAATTTTATTTTCTGATAGCTAGCAAAAACATAATTATCAATCATCTGCTAGAAATTATATTCTGAACGGTAGGACCGTGATATACTAAAAGTTTTAGTTCAACACTATGGAATTACCAAAAAGGTTGTTATCCTTATGGATTGAATCGACTCTTCAGATGTTTCCTAATTTTTGGGCATCACTAGTAGTCAGCTGTCAAATGAAACGTCAAAAACACATTCGCGAGTATTCTTTTGTCGTGTTTTGATTCTTACTTACGTTTAATTAAGTAAAAATAATGGGATTTTACTCCGAATATAAATGTGAAGTGAATTAAATAAACTGTCAACATGAAGTTTTTATTATTGATACTATTTCTGCTCGGTTCCTCCGGCTTCGGAACCGTTGTTGATGAAGAGGGAAAGGTACGAAACGTGAGATTGCACCGATTGCATCTCATTGATTTGGTATAGTGTAAACATAATGCAATAATATATCATTAATGACAAAAATATGTAATCGTTGTAGGAAAGCACAGAAATATCCCGTGCTTTGGATGACCGGCCGCTTCTGTTTGCCACGTTAGGAGGCGGTATGGTTGCTGTTGATCCTGTGTCTGGAGACATTATTTGGAAATTAAAAGACGGTAAGTTTACGTGAGGTTAGTTCAAATTATCTCTATGTTATTTTTCTATACTGTTTAGTGGTAAGACATGTAAACAATTTAATTAAAAATACCTCTATGGCTTAATCTCCCTTTTTTATTATCATTATATTATTTCCGAGGTTTCACACACTAAAGTTTTCGTGGTCAAGGACGAAGAAATGTAAAATTAACAATTGCTTTAATTATGTCTGCTATTCATGAAAACTAAAGAAAATTACAAGTAAACAAAGGATAAATAAAAATACTATCATAGGTTGTTTTATCAATTTATGAGTAAATGAGATGACTTATAAAAGTGTCTGGAAATAAAAGAATAAGAAGAACTGCAGGCTAAGCTTAGTTTAAATTTGGTGATGCCTTGGCTGAATATATCAGAATTAGATGAGTGTGAACTGTTGAGGATGATGCTTCGTAGTAATCGAGTAATAATAAAAGCAAATATTTTATTTACCTAGAAGGTACTGGACTGATTGAAGATAGATGCTTGTAACTGGAGTTATTGGTGATAATATGATTACTATAACATGATGCCTTTTTATGTTAGAATATCTTAACAACATTTAAATTTTGTATTTAAGTACAATTAAAGATAAAAAAAACTGAAAATAAAATTACCTTCAAATCTAAATCTAACTAATCAGATAAAAGGATTTAGGTATGTATAAAAGATAAGTAGGCAAGTTAGTCTCCAGAAACTTATTTGTTTTAAAAATTTTATCAATAATATTAGTTAATACTATTACATGATGTTAATCTTTTTATAGACTTTATTAATGAACTTCTTAATTTCCTCCTACGAGGTCCCCGCGCCTAGGGGGCGCGCAGGGTATGTGGGATTTGACGATCTGAAAGGTGTTGGGAGCAGACCGCGGGCCCAAGGAATTTTAAGGCCCCACTCACTAAACGACTCCCCTGCACTCATACACCCGACGTCCGACCTCCGTCCGGGGTCAAAACCCGGTCAGAGTAGGGGGTTCCCGCGGTCAACACTACAACCAGACACGTGGCGCCATTCCGAGGACGCCCGACCGACGGGTCGTCGAGGCGATAGTCGACGACCAACGACGTCGGTCTCCGTACGTTCTCCGCGTGCGGCGTAGTCTCAACCCCCTTAGGTCGCCCCGTGACCGTCACCGGGAGGAGACTACCTCCTCATAGGGGCCGGAGCTGGACAAACGCCCTCCTCCGACCCCGGCTTGACGGCGGCGACACGGCGCCGAGAGGGAGGAAGAGTTCTCCCTCTCCCGTTCCGCCGTATAAAATAGTGGGTGCATTCATGCTGTGATGTCGGTGACAACTTAAAACTAGGGGGGGGGGGGCATTAATTAGCTTGCTTACCTATCTATGCAATAAAAAAAACCTGGTACATATATTTTCTTAGAAATTTTAGTACTTGCTTGCAGGATTTCAACCTAATGTCAATTCACTCTGACAAATACCTACTGTATTGAAATTAACACTACATGCATATATTAATAGGTCTGTAGGTATATTAATAGGTCTGTGTGCTTTGTCAGCCCTTAAATATTTACTACTACTATTTATGATCAGATATACTTAAATGAATATTGAAGTGAGTAAATTTTTCTATATTTTCACATGCAAGAAATAAATTAAATGAAATTCAATGGTAGATTGCATCTACAACATAACTTTTTCTTAATGTGATATGTTCTTAAAAATATAGTGTATTCCTTTATTATCAATTGATTCTAATAAATAAAAAATGTATTGTAATATTATTTACATAAAATACGGTAAGAAAGTAATAAACTTATCAGATAAACACAACAATACTTCACATTTAATAAAAATGATTCTACACTGGGTCATAGATAAGAGTCAGAGTTATCACCACATGGACCAGACGTATGTTGAATAATTATTATCTCCACATTATTACTTTATCGGTTTTTACAATAATGTCATTCCTAGTGAGAATTTAGTAGAAGCATCTGGATCAAGTGCTGATTAAATTAATGTTTGGTGTTTTGTAATTGGTGTGGTAACTAATTATAAATTTGACCTTATCGCTTGATGTGATGGAAAGGATATATATAATTCTAGAATATGAATTGAATTCTGGTAATTTATAATACTTAATTGTTGTTCACTGTCATATTATGGGCATCCATAATATTATGATAAAGCTTATGAAGAAGCTCTGACATCATAATGTCGGAAGTTCTGGAGGCATTGGAATGTTCATCTATATTTCTTTAGCTACTCTGTGTTATTCTACAACTGGAAAACCTGGTGACCTACTTAATAGATTTGGGTAGGATGGCAATATTACCGATACATTGTCACAAGTTTAAAATTATTTGGCTACATTTTCTGCATAGATATATGGCAAGCAATACTATCATACGGCACCATACCGTACTGCATAATATTAATGAAACTGTTTATAGTAAGAAGTTACACTTCTCTTAAGAAGTGTGCTTTTATATTATAAAAATATAGAAAAGAAGATTGGGTGCTTAAGTGGGACCTATTTTTTCGAGTCGGGGCCGAACCTCCGATGTTTCTGCGTTTATGGGTCGCGCGGGATATTTTGGATTAAGTAGTCGAGAATGTTAAAGCCCCACTCACCGCATCAGTGGTCTGAAATAATTCTTGATTTTTTTTTTCTTTTTACCTACCTATGCTGATAGCCTTGAGAGGCTATTTCAGCTTCACCCTAACGTTTCTAGGTGGGTTCAAACCGGAGAGTTGCTAACACTGACCCTAGAAAGAGCAGTGCTTCGCAGAATCTACCACCGTATCGGAAACGCGACCCACTGAGTAGATCCGGCGAGAAACTAAGTGGGCTGTGTCTATGAGTTAATTCGCTCGTCGAGCCCTTCGTCGCAAGCGACGGGTTCGACGAGGACGGTGACCGGTGCTTGTGGTGCCTAAAAGCACCGTTAATGGATCAGGAGGATCCGTAATGACGTGCTTTGGGTGACGTCGACGGTTTACTATTCGGTCTACAGGATCGGGTATGTAGTTTCCAGCGGCCACGACAAGAGGCTTCTCATGTCGTGCCGCTTTCTCAAAGTGGCGCAGCGATGTCGACTGTAGATACTTACTAACGGAGTCGAGCTCCAGGTCATCGTAGAGATCCTTGTTCCTCAGGAGCCATGGTGCTCCGACAGCTATCCTGCAGAATCGGGATTGAATAACCTGAAGGGATTTCAAGTGGGTGCGGACCGCGTGAGCGAACACTACGCTCATGACGGGGCGTATGCAAGTTTTGTAGAGAGTTACCTTATTGCGGAGGCACAGTTTGCTTCGTCTATAAAGCATTGGGTAGAGTCGTCCTAGTATAAACGCGGCACGGTCGCGTACCGTTTTAATGTGGGGACGGAATGTCATCCCTCTGTCGAGGGTGACGCCTAGGTATTTGACCTTTGAGGCCCACGGTACGGGCTGGCCAAAGAGTGATGGGGCTAACGGCGGAGGTGTTTGCGCGCCTATTAGGGAGTGGGATCTGGAATTTTTTTTAGAAAAATGTTCATTAATGTTCACAATACTGTTGTGATAAGTTTACATACACTATTCAATATTTTAACGATAAGGTAGTTGGTTAATTATAATTTCAAGGATCATCACTATTTTTTTCAGATAAACATGATTTATTAAGCAAATTAGATCACACAATTTTGATTACGTCCGTGCGGTTACTGTTTTAATTTAATAGTATTGTTTTTGAAAATATTGTGTACACACATCATATTTATTTATATTTTACTTTATTATTACCCCATATTTTATTTAGTAACTATACTAGAGCCGACCATATATTTACTGTATTTTCTAGACGAATTGACTCAGAGGCGGCTTTGTCTTTGGTGCAGCGTGTAGGCGCAGCGGTATTAAAGGGGCCGGCTTCCGCACTTTCAAGGAGCCTGTTACATTTGTGCCTGTTTAATGTTGACCCCGCGCTTACTAGAGAGGTCTAGAGAAATGATAGCACAAGGCCTCTATATGGGCGTGTAGATATAAAATAGATGATAGAAAATAGAGGCACCTTTGAACAGACTATTCATGTGAAATATCTCTGTACTGGTTACTTGCACGCGTTAATACCGTCATTGCATATTTCTTCCAGACGACTGTTTTTATGTACATACTAGCCGTACTCGCCCGCTTCGCTGGGCATTTAAAATTAACGTTATTATTTATTGTCATTATTATTAGCGAGTCCAATAATCATATAAATATTAGCCTATCCTATGTATTTTCTACATGAATACCAAATTTCAAGTCAATCGGATGCATGGTTCAATAGTTATAAAGGAACATCCATAAAAACCACTGTAGATTTATCTATTAGTATAGATATAGATTTTGACCTTAAGATTCAGGATGAGTCTCTCGTTTTATTTCCTCTCGGATAAATATCAGGTGCACCCATCTAAAGCAATAAAAAGAATCTTCGGTACTATTCTAGACCTGTTTATGAATAAGTGAAAATTTTCGTGTAGCTCAGTTCTTTTCAATTTCGTTTAAAATTTTAATCTAAACGCGCTAATAAACATAATACGTAATGTTTGGTCGTAAATTTTCTTGAAGCCGTGTAGCAGTATTAACCACGGTTCGAACATTGACCATGTAAATATAATTTATTTTCGTTGTATTCTGAAAATTTATTCCAAAGCAACGGGAAAGGTTTTTGTAGTGAAAATTTATATAACGTCGTTGTTGTTTGAATGATGATGATGATGAAACGAAAAAGGGTTAATAAAACGTAAGAAACTTATTGTTTTGCGAGATAATTACTTAAAATACATTTGGAGGCTTCGATTTTAGGGCGTGTAGATTGCACACATGTTTCTGGCTTTCTGTCATTTAGCATCTGATTTTACGATCCATCTGATATGAGATTGCCGTTGTTGCCCACCGCTAATAACTCAGTCTGGTCAGCTTTGGTTGAAGAGATAGGTGCCACAGTCCCCAACACATACCGAGTGAAATTCACTAAGATGTATAATACAGATGATATGGCACATTGAAAAAAATACCTCTTGGAAACTATTTAGTAATAAAACTAATTATTAACGGCCGGATCGCGGTGCCTAAAAATAAGAAGATAACTTAGTTCAATTATTGTATTTGCACTTTATTAAGTACAGTTGTTTAAATTTCGTTGAGTATTTATTGTACATTTGTATATTAAAATAGATGCAAATACAGATATGAACATAATTGAGCGTATACGACTAATGTCACAGTACTGTAGTTACAGTGTAGTAAGTACACTATCACGTAAATAATATGTCCTTCACGTGTTTAAATAGTGTTTTTATTGATGTTTCAAAGATTTTATTAGTTTCACTTTAGAACTGGGACGCAAACCTTTACTTTGCTTATCTATTTTTAAACGCTGATTTTTTCGAGTATTTGACTGAATTGAATATTGACTAGAAATTACCCATTAATTTATTTATCTGTACATATATTATGTACTTCTATGTTACTTGTCTTGACTAATTTATTCATCGACGCGGGGCCTAAATCGCTTGAACTATATAAATAAAATTTGGTAGTTGATGCCACTTATGGCTTAAGCTTCCAAAATGGATGACGTCAGGCCCGTGAGCCCCGTGAGCTCGCCCACAAGTTCGGTGAACTTAGCAGAACCGCTCAGGACTACGAGTATAGGTAGGCAGAAAAAAAACGAGGATTTCTTGGAAATTTAAGGCTGAAAGAGGGGTGGGGTTAAAATAAGGCATGAATAAACTATTTGAACTAAGAAACGTGCAATTTAACATACTTGCAGTAATAAATGTAAACGTATATAGGCTAACTATATTAAAGAAAATTACGTAAAACTCGCCTCGTTAGAGGTTGTAACTTTAGTTGGGTATTCTACCCTATTTCGATTGTGACGAAACTTAGTTAATATTTGATAGTTAGTACTCTAGGGAAGGTTTTATTTCCATAGTACCATCAATATATGTTAGGTAGCGCTTGAGTCGTTTTTTTGAAAATGGTTCTTAGTACAATCGGCTATAGTCACAGCGAAGTGTGACCGATTTCACTAGTTAAATTAAAACTCGACTAAATGTAAAAGTGTATTAATTGAATTGTTTTAATTACAAAAATCGTTCGTTTTTTGATGATCGATGTTTTCAAACCGAACCTAAACCGAGTAATGTTTTTTTTACCCTACCTATTCGCTGATAGGAAGCTATTCCAGCTATCGAATAGTATTATGTCTGTGCCTTCTGTCATATGTATCAAGCTATAAGTAACAAACTGTAATGGGATTTAGCATAAGAATTAATGGAAAGGATATAAGGATACTAAGCCTACGTTGGAATGAGGGGGAAGCTTACGTACAAGATACGATAGCTTTCAAACTAGCATTTCTTAAATCACTTAAAAGTATCAATGTTTTTTTTGTAGAGCCCGTTGTCAAAGTTCCGAGCCAAGACGCGAACTTGATGCCGCAGTTCCTCCCGGATCCGAGGCACGGATTCCTATACACGTACGGCCCGAGGGGCGACCAGCAAATGTTGAAGAAGCTCCCGTTTACAATACCGGAGCTGGTGGCAAACGCGCCTTGCCGATCTACAGACGGTATTTTGTACACCGGAAAGAAAAGCGATACTTGGTTCATGATTGATCCATTAACCGGCTTTCGTGAGCACGTTTCAGGTATTTTATTAACCGTCTGCGCTTAACATATATTTTTTTATATTAATTTAATTTAAACTTTTTACGTGGTTCTTTTTGACATTCCCGTTTCCGTTTCAAACGAGGTTCAGGTGAAGAGTGCAGAGGAGTTGTTAAGTGGGTGGTCTGTAAACATCTTCCTTCTTTGGTAACTTCTAGTTCCAGCTTGGAGGGAGCTCCTTCATACGTAATAACGTTAGCCGCGAATGCCCCCACTGAGACATGGGGTGGACGTCTCAATTTCGTCGAAATAAATTTACATTCAAATCACAAGCAGAAACGGGTAGGTTATGTTAACCGGTGTGGGTTCACAATACGCATATCGCCTGTAATTATGCCAATAAACTAAATGTATTCGTTTTGTTGGACAATGTTACTTCTAAGCCCGGGAAGTGGGATTCTTCGATACGAGAATACCGGACATTTTATTTTCTCATTGGCCACGGACGCTTATGCTGATGATGACGCTGCGTTTATGATGTATTCAAATTTTAAACTAAATACCGGTATAATTGCTTCGGGCCTTGACCCATTGTTTTAGCGAGTTTTGGCGAGCATCCATAAACGACGAACAAAACATTTAAAACATTACAAAGTAAATAAATGTTAGAATTTTTAAGAAAGGCAGTTATAAGATTCATTTCTCAAAATAACTGTTTTTTTTTCATTTTCAATCGACTGCAAGGCGTCAAGTACACTAACTACTGTTAACAGTATTATATAGTTAACAGTAGTATTTAAATTTTCTTCAGTTAAAAAGAAAACTTTGATGCTTACAAATGTAGTGAGATACTTTTTTATTATTTACAAGAATTCGCTGTATTTAAAAATATGTAACATAATTTACAAATATTTTACAGCTGAAATTGATTTCAGCTTCATTGGACCAATTAACAATCTAATCCTACCGAAAGAATTTGACACCTATTATTTTTTTACATTAAATATGAATTATCAACAAGACTACCGCACAGGGTAGTTAACACATCGTTAGCGGGGTAGTTGTTATACTCGTACACAATCCCATGTTTCAAGGTGGGTGGAGGCATTCCTTTTCGCAATCGTAATGGGAATTAATCACTTACCTAAAACAAAAGGTAAACATTAATCGTTTACTAAACTAAAAATGAATACTGATAGTGTTACGAATTTTCGTGAATATAACGCGAATACAAGTGTCAGATGTTTTAGTTCTCCTTCAGGACGATAGATTTTGCGCATCAGTTGATCGTTACACGCGTTATTACACACTATGTGTACTACAAGAATCAGTAAATACAAACCTATATTTGCAGAAATTATTACAATACGCCCTTTTCTTTTTAACGGTAGGCAGCGGCTTCGCTCTGCCCTTGGTTGGCATTGGTGAAGTCGATGGGCGACGGTAACCGTAAACGACTTACCATCAGGTCGACTGCCTACAATGACAATAAAAAAACGACCTGTGTTTAGTCGATTATTAATACAATACAAATTTTTGTAGTTTTTGTTACATCATCGGAGCACGACTCTGCCGGTGTCTGGTAGTTTGAAAGATCGGTGACGATATATCGCACGTAGGGGGCTATAACATCGCTTATGCAAATTATGTAATTTTTCAGGAGAATCGTTGTAAAATTCAACATCTTAATATAATTATATAATTCTCCTCGACTAAAAAAATAAAATGTTAATATTGAAACTACAACTTTACACGTTATTATTAAAAGCAAACATCCAACAAATAACTATTAAATTAATGGATTTTCTCAAACTCAGTTCAGTTTTAACAAGAATCGCATAAGTGACATTATATCATCGTATTTGCGATATTATTACGGAAAAGAGAATAAAATCGTAATATAAAAAAAAGGAGAAGAAGGTATTTGGTGTTGTGGGACACCGGATAGGAACGAAGTTTCTTATTATAAAAATATTAATTTTAAGTTCCATTCGAGGTATAAAGAAAATAATTATTCGGGTATACATTTTTTATTATGATATTTTTATTGATAAAAATAAAATAAAACTACTTTACAAAGTTATCAACTTTATTTTATTTACACTGATTTATAAAATAATATAAGTAATAATAATATACAAAGAAACAGCTATATAAATGAATGATAATAATAACCGTCATCACGTAGACTATACATTAGACACTGTATAACCATCATACTAAGACTATATACATAAATAATAAAAATCTTACGTTACGGACGTTTTTTCTCGGTTAGGGTACCCCTCCGCATCGTCCCATAACGAACTTCGTTCCAAAAAAAAATTATCATAGTTTTACTTCATTATCGAATTTTGATTTTTAGGTTTTGACAAATCGAAAATATTCAAAAGCGACGACGAGAACACTTGCAACTCCGAGAAGAAGAAAGGTATTTACGTGGCGCGTACTGAATACAACATCCTGATGCACGATTCAAAGAATGTAAACCATAAATGGAATGTTACTTTCTTTGATTACACGTCGCTAGCTATGGGCAAGGACATGTTGAATGATTACGGTGAGTGATATATATAGTACATGGATAAAAAATGTTTTTTTTAATTAATTGCTTAGATGGGTGGACGAGCTCACAGCCCACCTGGTGTTAAGTGGTTACTGGAGCCCATGGACATTTACAACGCAAATGCGCCACCCACCTTGAGATATAAGTTCTAAGGTCTCAGTATAGTTACAACGGCTGCCCCACCCTTGAAACCGAAACCCATTACTGCTTCACGGCAGAAATAGTTAGGGTGGTGGTACCTACCCGTGCGGACTCACAAGAGGTAAAATATATATTAGGTATTATGTCTTATGAAATTGATTTGCAGGGGCAGCCCTAAATACAGAATAATGGCGCCAAAAATATTTGCGTATAGAAAAGCGGTTTTGAATTCGTAAACATTTATTATAAACATAAAAGAAAAAGTGATGTACGCTTATGATGAATTATCCGATCAGATCTATGACGGTCTCAAGATCACATAGGTACTAAGTTGGGTAGCAGTTCGAGCGATGAAAGTTTAAGCGACATTTCGTTTTTAGTACGCGACATTTATCTTTGTAATTAAAGGGGGTTTCTAAGTGGCATTATCTATTAGCATCAACAATTCGATTAAGACATTATTTCCAAAATTTTAGTTATATTTTTTCCCTACCTATGCTGATAGCCTTGAGAGGCTATTTCAGCTTCAGCCTAACATGTAGCTGAGCTCACAGGGCTCAAATCGGAAGTGTTGCCAACACTGGCCCTAGCGAGAGCAGTACTTCGCAGAATCTACCACCGGATCGGAAACGCGACCCACTGAGAAGATCCGGCGAGAAACTCAGTGGGCTGTGTCTATGGGTTAATTCGCTGGTCGAGCCCTTCGTCGCAAGCGACGGGTTCGACGAGGACGGTGACCGGTGAAAGCATCGTTAATGGATTGGGAGGATCCTTAATGACGTGTTTAGGGCGACGTCGACTGTTTACCATTCGGTTCACAGGATCAGGTATGGGTAAACTTTAAATGGCTCTTTTGTATATTGTAAAAAGTCACTTAAACCCAATAGTCTATTATCCCTCAAATCGATTAACGAGGCAATGTTTTGATTTGCGCTTATCGATCGACTACATGAGACCCGAGAAATTATTTTGCCATTAAAAAAAAAAAAAAATTACAATAAACCTCGTTATTGTCGTTTCAAATTATGTACTATATATAATCTAGAGTAAATAGTTTCCGCCCACTGACCGTCGGTTGAATTCAGTGAATCGATTAAAATGATAACAAACTAGCAAGAGTTAAAATAGTCGGTAATATGTGGGTTTTTTTTATACAGATTTTAACATACGAATAGAGTCTAGTCGCGAATGAGAGTTGATTGTGATTTNTGAGACCCGAGAAATTATTTGGCCATTAAAAAAAAAAAAATTACAAAAAACCTCGTTATTGTCGTTTCAAATTATGTACTATATATAATCTAGAGTAAATAGTTTCCGCCCACTGACCGTCGGTTGAATTCAGTGAATCGATTAAAATGATAACAAACTAGCAAGAGTTAAAATAGTCGGTAATATGTGGGTTTTTTTTTATACAGATTTTAACATACGAATAGAGTCTAGTCGCGAATGAGAGTTGATTGTGATTTTATAAATAAATAAATATTAAATTTTATTGACGGGCCATAATATATTTTAAATTTTGTTGCTATTTTACTACAGTGCTAATAGGCAATTTTCAATGATGTGTCACACTCAAATGTTGTATGGGTTTTGAAAAGTAAATTCTTAATATTTTTAAAACGAAGCCTGTAACAAATAAAACAGGTATAGATATGAAATAGTTTTAAATTTTCGCGGTTATCTACGTACGTACACACACTATTACTTGACGGATTCTTACCGAGATTTTTCCATTTCACGAGTTCACCACCGAAGTGTCTGGAAAATCTGGTACTTATCTGCGCTAGACAGTGGCTTGGATCTGCCTTTGTTGACGTTCGTGAGTGACGCTAACCACTCACGATCAGGAGAAACGTCTGTCCGTGTGGGGAATAAAAAAATATAAAACATGAAAATTTTACTAAGAACCCGTTAGATAGTGTGTTTGAAGCCTTATAATCAAATCTAGCCTACGATAATGCTAGGAATTACTATATACATACATTATTCGCGTTGAATAATTATGAAAGACTTTAATAATTCTCATAAGCTACATGCTAGCAAAATGTTAGCTTCGTAAAACCATACCTAAAATAAATATTGGGTTACGTAAAAATTTATTATTCAAGTTTATTGACACGAGACTTTTAGTACGAAACACGTAAGATTTATACTAATTGAAAAGGAAAACATTAAGCTGGGCGACACGTTCGCTCATGCGGGTATAATCATTTTAGATAGCTCCATGACATTGTTCAATGACCTTTTCATTTTCATATTGAACTTAATTCACCGCGATGGTAAATCTAATATATAAAATTCTCGTGTCACAATGTTCGTTCCCATACTCCTCCAAAACCGCTTGAACGATTCTCATGAAATTTTTTATGCATATTCAGTAAGCCTGAGAATCGGCTACTATCTATTTTTCATACCCCTAAGTGATTAGGGTTGTCCACCCCTAACATAATTTTTTTTTTATTTGGACTTTTTTTTTTGTTATAATGAGGTATTATGTAGTTGAATGAGGTTTTGTTATTTTTATTATATATTCCCTCATCGTTCACAGCACTACATACCTCTTTCACTCATTTACCACATCCTTACACACTTACAATAAGTTAGTTTTTTTTTCTACACTAGAAATTCCCTAGAAATCTTATATACCTTTGGCAAAAACAATGTTTGCCGGGTCAGCTAGTAACATATAATAATAAGTACTACTTTTGAGGTTTGTAATCGTATTTTATTTATTTATTATTAATTATATTATTTTCGAAGTTTCAAATAATTTATAGTTTTCGTAGTCAACGACAACTAAGTAAGGTCTGTAAGGTCCGTTTTTATATAAAAAATATCTCTAGTCGATACTAATATATAAATCTACAGAGGTTTTTATATATATATATATATATATATATATTATTTTATATATAACTACTGAACCGTGCATCCGATTGACTTGAAACTTGGTATCAATGTAGAAAATACATGTACTTAATGGATAGGCTCATATTTATATGAGTGTTAGACTCCCTAATAATAATGACAATAAATAATAATGTTAGTTTTAAATAACGCAGCGAAGCGGGCGAGTACGGCTAGTACTTTAGTTTTCGTAGTCAACGACAACTAAGTAAGGTCTATAAGGTCCGTTTTTATATAAAAAAATATCTCTAGGCTTGCTTTTCATTTCACACGGAACGAACGAATAGTAAGAGGAACTCTGTTAGTTTGTTTGACTTGGGTGATGCGAAAAACGAAGGAAATGGTATAAAATATAATAATTTCAACAGTGAATATTAATTTTGATGATAGAGTTGATTTGTTTCGACTTTTTATTGCAAAATAGATTTATTCAATTAACCGTCAGGTTCTGGCATTATTATTTTTTTCGCAGCCCTAAGACATGCTAAAAGGTTTGAAAAGAGTTCTTAGGACTTAGTTACTGGACTATGTCTCTGGAGTTGTCGGGGTTTACGATGATGATTACTCACCAACCTATTCATTAATCAAAATACGTATCTAAACGATGAAAATAATTCTCGAACATAATAAGATAAAAAAATTACCAACAACTTCAACATTATTTGTATCAGACGATAAATACCAATTGAAAAAAAAAAACCACACACCCTGTATTTGAAATTTAAGTGATAAATATTTATATCTATATAAATCAGATAAACATTTTGAAGTATCTACGTATATTTTAATTACGTACATTAGTACATACTTTTCAATATTTTCAGGGCACATTCAGTTTTTATTAATGAACTAGTTGACCCGGCAGACTTCGTAGTGCCGCAATCGATAAATAAAAGACCTAAACTTTTGTATAAAATAAACTTAAAACAAACAAAAGGAATCCGTCCGACGGGGGACGCATCAAAGGAAAAACAAAATTGTTATTTTTAATTAATTCCGAGCATTTTCATATTTATCTACCTTTTAAACTTTCCCTGGACTTCCACAAATACAGTCAAACCTGGATAAGCGAGAGTTCAAGGGAGCACAATCTCATTCTCGCTTATAGAGGTTTCTCACTAACCCGAGTTTCTCGCTAATGCACCTTCTGAATTTCATTGCGCGATTTTCCGGATTCAAACGCATTCACTTTCTTAAGTTAACACTTAATGACAGTACTTTAATCTTCCGTTTTGTCATGATGCAGAACAGAACTTTCCTTCGCAATTGATTAACGATAATCTGAGTAAGTCCGACAAACAGGACGGTACACAGGCATACGTGTCCATTCGAAAAGAATGCGATAAAATAACAACGTCATTTACCTAGTTCCACGAAATAGAATAGGTTCAATATTGACGAGAAAACAATACAAAAACAATGGTAGGAAGTACCACGAAAGTTAAGAATGAGTCATAAAATAGCAGATGTTAAATTTGTAATTTGTTTTGTCATTTGTTCCTCCTAAATAATATAAATAAATAAAGCTCGACTGTCGCTTATAGAGGTATAGATAAGTAGTAGTCTCACTTACGGAGGTCCATGAGGGAAAAACGACTTTCTCTTACAGAGGTTTCTGTTTCTCGCTAATAGAGGTTTTGGAAGCTTAAAATGACGGGTCCTGGCTATTACTCTCACTTATAGAGTTTTCTCACTTATCCAGTTCTCGCTTACCCAGGTTTGACTGTAATTCAAGACCAAAATTAGCCAAATCGGTCCAGCCGTTCTCGAGTTTTAGCGAGACTAACTTTACTGGTGGTAGGACCTTTTGTGATTCTGCACGGGTAGGTACCACCACCCCGCCTATTTCTGCCGTGAAGTAGTAATGCGTTTCGGTTTGAAGGGTGGGGCAGCCGTTGTAACTATACTGTGGCCTTAGAACTTATATCTCAAGGTGGGTGGCGCATTTACGTTGTAGATGTCTATGGGCTCCAGTAACTACTTAACACCAGGTGGGCTGTGAGCTCGTCTACCCATTTAAGCAATAAAAAAAAACATCAATTCATTTTTATATATATATATATATATATATATATATATTTTAACCAGAACCCTCCTTTTTTATCGCAGGTACAATACATTTCACATCGACGTCGAACGGTCGCGTCATGTCTTTCGACCGCAAGACCGGCGACCTCGTCTGGTCCCACAACTTCGGAACTCCGGTCGTAGCTGCCTACCTCCTGGACAGAGACGGCCTTATCTCCGTCCCTTTCAACTCGATCGGTGACGACACGCTCGATCACATCATGGAGGACGCCAAAACCCTTTCGAACGGGAAAGGACTCAAAAATTCGAATATCGAATTGTAGTGAGTTTTCAATTTATTTTGATAGCTTATCATCGTTCAGATTATCTTAGGAAGGTAATTAAAGAAGTCGTTTGATAACGCATCAAAAAACAGATAAAAAACGTATGTCTATTAATGTGTATTTTATAATCGATGCATTTGACAATACGTTCAGAATATATTAAATATTACTTTGCTCATGATTTACAGGCAAATCTTATTTTGACTATAATAGCACAATATGACAATGGTGTTCTTAAAGGCTTTTGCGAGTTTTACCCACGATTAAAACATTTTTATTAATAGTTTGAAATTGGCCTGACATTAGCTTAAGCTAGCTTAGCTTAAGCTGTAATATAGGTCAACGGATATTGAAATCCAATTTAAAGTTTTTTTATTTAATTATTATCATATTGCCGTATAGGCAGACGAGCATACGGCCTGCCTGATGGTGAGTGGTTATCGTCGCTCATGGATGTCAAAAATGACAGAGGAAGAGCCAAGCCGCTGCCTATCTTATGGTATAAGATGTTCGTAGATGTGTAGAATAACACCAACACATTACTTTCTATGGAAGTTTAGCTGGTTTAGAGCTCAGGGAACTGGTAAAGGTATTGGCTGGAAACGCACTGTCAATGTTCAGTGGTTCAAGGTAATAGATGGCGGGTTTTTTCATATTTGATACAACGATGTCCCGCTCCATCTAGTGTGTTAATCGGTTCGCGGAGATAGACCTTACAATGCGATTTCCACCACTGACCTTGAGACATGAGGTTACCTCATACTCCTACTTTGGCGGCAAAATCACGTGCGGCGGTAAAACCACATCTAAACAATTCCATATACAGTAATCTCCCCTATAACACGGTAGATTAGTTCCGCGTTATAGGAATCGCGCTGTAGGAGTATTCTCGCATAACGCGTTTCAATATATCTGTATAACGCGTTATGTACAAATATAATACAACATAACCTATGTTTATACAATTCAAAAGGAACACAAATAATTATGAACTATACATATTATTATAAAATTCACAGTACAGAAATACTTATAACGTGTGAAATCTCCTCGTTATATAGGGGAAAACCTGTGTTATAATATATATACGAGGGACTGAAATCGCGTAATATGAAAATGCGTTATAAGAGTACCGCGTTATAAGGGGGATGGATTTACTGTATTTAATACGACACACGGGCATTTCATTTCCAAAAATGAGGTTTCCGAATTTTCCTTTCCAGCCCGACTTTATACGTCGGTGAGCATAACCACGGTCTATACGCGCTATCGTCGTTAGTCGATAAAAACACGATAACTATATCGACGGGTCATCAGCCCTTGCTCATCGAAGGCCCCTCGACGGAGACACTAAAGACGAACGCGCCGCGCTACGAGCCGATCAAGAACATCCACTACAAACTGAGCGACCTTAACTTGCACGTGTCGGCGCCGTATCTCCTTCTCGGCCACTACAAAGTTCCGGAACTGACGACCTCCTGGATACCCCATCTGCCTAACTCGAACGTTTTGAACCTGAGAGATCCACAAATCGATTCGATAAAACTAATCAACGGAGCAGTACAAGCTCAGACGGAGAATGACGTTGAGAACGAAACGAATTTGAAGTCCAATTCGGTTTCCGTTTCGGTTCAGACTGAGGATTTGTTCGAGGGTTTGTCGTTCAGGCCCGATCTGTGGTACAAGCAGGCCCACGTTTGGCTCCACCAGCAGGAGAATAAAGTGCTGAAAGTGGCACTAATTATTCTCGTCGGTTTGGTCATCGCCATGTTCTGGTATTTAAGGCTGCAGGTGAGATATTTTTAGTCAATGCTCTAAGATCAGGGGTGGTCGACTTGATTAGAACCAAGATCTAATGACGAAACTGCTAATGACCTTTCTTGAAATTTAATTAAACAATGTAGTTCAGTATACAAATAAGTAGCTTATTTTCTTTTATTAAAAATATTAAAATAAACCTGTAATTATATTATATAATAAAAAAAGAACTGTTGTGTAGAAGAGAGGATAAATAATGTGACGTAATGGTCATTAACAAATGATACAAGATGAAGATGGTTGGCCACCCCTGCTCTAGATGAACGCAAGTGCTTATAACTCGGCTAGTTTTTAGCGGCTATTGTAGTTCATTTTGGTGGTGTCCAATGGTAAATACTCCGTTGAAGTTCTTACAAATATATTATTCTACTATAACTTTTTTTTTGTTGCCCTTTTAGGCAGACGAGCATACAGCGGACCTGATGGCGAGTGGTTACCGTCGCCCATGGACTTCAGCAATGCCAGGGGCAGAGCCAAGCCGCTGTCTACCGCTTAATACTCTTAATACTAATAATAATAAAACTTTGTAGAATGCGCTGGTCGCCTCTATACAATGTTAAGATTTTTATATCTCTTGACCAAACAATAATAAGCTATAGTTAACACAAAAGGTTATCATATAAAAAATGAGGTATATTAACGCAAAATGCCTTTTTTTTACAATGCTGATAGTTTATATCAGCATTGTAAAAACATACAGTTGCACAAATGCAAATGGAGAACGTTGTATGCTAATTAATTCTTATTTGTGTAGGTGTTTTTGGTATTCAATTTGAATTATTTAGTACTCATTACCGTATGCATGTATAATATATTATACCATCTGATACAATGGCGTACTTTAATAAAAGAATCGACCTGCTTTCTTTATTTGTAATAAGTGTTCAGTTCAGAAAATTTTATATTAAGAGGTAATTTTTAATCCCTTCTTGAGAGTCCTGGACGTAAGCGACAATAGATTAACATAGATTTATAATTACTGCCTTTAGGCAAAAATATGTATGGTCCCCTTCATCACCCGACATGACGAGAACACCGTCCCCTCTTCTAACTACTAATCATGCGAGATTAAAACACAATCTGTTTTAAAAAAAACTAGCAAAGTAACTACAAATTATCGCAAGAATTTACTTTTTTTTATTTTATTGCTTAGATGGGTGGACGAGCTCACAGCTCACCTGGTTTTAAGTGGTTACTGGAGCCCATAGACATCTACAACGTATATGCGCCACCCACCTTGAGATATAAATAAGTTCTAAGGTCTCAGTATACAACGGCTCAGTTACAACGGCTGCCCCGCCCTTCAAACCGGAACGCATTGCTGCTTCACGGTAGAAATAGGCAGGGTGGTGGTACCTACCCGCGCGGACTCATAAGATGTCCTACCACCAGTACCACCACCACCACCACTACCACTTGGTGAATCCCATAGACCAACCCACTGAGTTTCTCGCCGGATCTTCTTAGCGGATCGCGATTCCGATCCGGCGGTAGATTCTGCGAAGCATTGCTTTTGTTAGGGCCTGTGTTAGTATATTCGTTCAAGTTGAGCCCCGTGAGCTCACCTACTACCGTACCTACCATCTAGCGTACTTGGGATAGCTCCCTAAGCTACCAGCAAATAGGTATGGAAAAAGGCCCTAAAGAGTTTACGGCCTGGTGTTCAGTGCTTACCAGAATCCATAAACATTGATACCGCCACATTGAAACATGAGTTTTAAGTCCCAGTTCTGTAGTAAAAGGCTGCTCCAGTTTTCAAAGCAGAGCGCATTAGTGCGTCGGCCAGGAATAGGCTGGTATAGTGGTGATAAACATTTGTATGAAAAGCCATAATTCAGCCAGAAATTCTTGTAATTCTTAATGCCAGCTTATTCATAAATGTTTATTCCTTTTATACGTCAGGCTCGTGAGTTCCAGCAACTATCGCAAGGCGGTTCCCGAAGCTCCACCTCATCTACGTCGTCCCAGGGCGAAGTTACCGGACAGCTCATGGAAATAGGAGAGGGTGAAATGAAGATCGGAAAGATTACATTCCAGACAGATCAGGTGCTGGGAAAAGGTTGCGAAGGCACCTTCGTTTACAGGTAACTTATTAACTGGACGTAACTTTGATATTGCGTTCATAAGTCGTTAATTCTTCGATAAATAAGTTGGCGTATCAACTAAATGCAACAATGTATATCAGTCACGATATTAAATGCATATCATCGGAGATTCAGGTTTTCAGCTTTTCGAATATCTTGAATTGTAATTGGTGACATTCTATGTACGTACATAAATATGTATGAATATTTAAACGCGTACAGAGAATATTTAAACGCGTACAGAAGTTGTATATACAGGGTGTGTTTGTCATGGATGTAAGGGTGGAATTCTTACCCTTTTATGTTATGTAGATCAGATCTTCTCAGTCGGTCGCGTTTCCGATCCGGTGGTAGATTCTGCGAAGCACGGCTCTTGCCAGGGTTCGTGTTAACAACGTCGTTAGGTTTGAGCCCCGTGAGCTCACCTACACGTTAGGGTGAAGCTAAAGTAGCCAAGTAGCCTCTCAAGGTTATCAGGATAGGTAGAAACAAAACAAGGTGTGTTTGTCACTGATAGAAGAGTGAAAAGGGTAGGGTCCCATTTATTTTAGGTAGATCAGCTTGTGAGTTCGCCCCAATCGGTCCAAATCCTTGTTTGAAGGGCACTTGCGGCTTCCAATTTTATGAAGACCGATATCTTATGGTCATATAACAAATTTCGAAGTTAAGATAAAAATTGAAATGTCTAATTGCAGAGGGACTTTCGATAAACGCGACGTGGCCGTGAAACGATTGCTCCCTGAGTGTTTCACGTTCGCCGACCGCGAGGTGGCGCTGCTGCGGGAGTCGGACGCGCACGCACACGTCGTGCGCTACTACTGTACTGAACGCGATAAACAGTTCAGGTAAGATTATTTTTGAAGTGAAAACTTCTTTAGAATCGTTGTGATTTCAAACCGGATGCAACGGAAAAAACGACAGGTAAGAGACACAAATACAAAAATGTATAGGATGAAGCCAGCAAAGAATGAGACAGAAATATACATACTATTTAATACAGCGCCATCTGTGAGATTTTTTAATACTAACGTGTGTATGAAAGCTCTTGTAGTGAATTTTAATTTAGGATTATACGTGAAATTAAAATATCAATTCACAGAGGGCGCTACCTTACAATTATTTACTAATGACAAAATTTTACATATACTTAAGACGTTTAGGATAATTGTATTTTAATTTTGGAAGGTTTCACTTATACCACGTGTGAATTGCACACATTTTTTTTCTTTTGTACAATGTGTTTTGGGGTGGGATGAGAAAGTTAAGATCCTTTACCGAGAACCGATTTTTGCTCGGCATACCGAGAATCCGAACGTTATCCAACTTTTAACTTAAACGGCATTTCTGCAACATTACAGGAGAGCCATTTAAAGTTTAAAATTTCGTAAAAATATCGTAATGAAAAATCTTCCTCAGTTATTCGAATTGAGTAAACTTTATGAAGTTCAATTAAAAAAATTACTAGTCTATACTAATATATAAATCTACAGTGGTTTTTACGAATGTTCCGTTATAACTACTGAACCATGTATCCGATTGACTTAAAACTTGGTATCCATGTAGAAAGTACATGTACTAAATGGATAGGCTAATATTTATATGAGTGTTGGACTCCCTAATAATAATGAGAATTAATAATAATGTTAATTTTAAAAGCCCAGCAAAGCGGGCGATTACAGCTAGTACCAAATAAAACGGACCTTTAATTACAAAGATAAATGTTGCGTATTAAGCCAAAATGTCGCTTAAACTAAATAACCTTTCATCTCTCGATATCCAAGTTGAAAATGTCGATAGCGCGATTCTGCCATTGTCAACACAAGGCAATGGACGGCAAAACCTTTTAGCGCGCAATGGTCGCGTAAGAAATAAAAAGGCAACGTTCTATTTTGTGGCTGCTTGATTTGGCATTCGTATATAGAACAGTCACTTATTAAAATAAATTTGTTTTCAGGTACATTGCGCTAGAGCTATGTTCAGCGACATTGCAGGACTATGTTGAGAAGAAGTTAAACTTCGAGTGCAAGATTGATTCGGTCGAAATACTAAGGCAGGCCACTATGGGCTTATCGCACTTACACTCTATGGATATAGGTAATTGAGTAACCCACCCTAATTTCAGTTACTGTTAGTGTGAGGCGGACTGTAGTCCTATCTGTTTAACACATGAGATAACTATTAGTTTTAATGCGATGCAGCAAGCCCTTATATATCATAAATGATAAAGGCTAATTTATGATGTAACATAAAATTTTCCTTCTTATTAACCGATTCTTCAAAAGAGGAGGTTCTCAATTCGTTTTTTTTAATGTGTGTTTCTATATTATTTTTTTTCTAGATAAACCATTTTATTTTATTTTTAAGCTGTCGCTTCTGATATGGCTCCACTTATCCCCCCCACACTGATAACTTTGAGGTTGTGCTCTACGCCGTTTAACCTTAGGAGTTTGGGCCTGTCGTGACTTCATCATTTCAGAGTAAAAGCCTGGGAAACGGGAGGAGACTCAATATAATATTGCCCTTGTAGGCAGATGAGCATATGACCCACCTGATGGTGATTGGTTACCGTCGCCCATGAACTTCAGCAATTCCAGGGGCAGAGCCAAGCCGCTGCCTACCTATATTAAAATCATTATTACCGTTGGCAGTACATAGGGATGTGAAGCCGCACAACGTTTTGCTGTCGATGCCGAGTGGGACCGGCGAGGTGCGCGCCATGATATCGGACTTCGGCCTGTCCAAGAAGCTGAACATAGGGCGGGTCAGCTTCTCGAGGCGCTCTGGGGTCACCGGCACCGACGGCTGGATAGCGCCGGAGATGATCAACGGCGAACGGACTGTGAGTCATTCAAATTTCAACCTTGCGCACATCACTTTTAGAACAGTTTTCTGCAATCGAGAAGACTCTGAGTCAGTCAAATTTCAACCTTGCGTACATTACCTTTGGTACAGTTTTCTGCAATCGAGAAGACTGAGTCAGTCAAATTTCAACCTTGCGCACATCACTTTTAGAACAGTTTTCTGCAATCGAGAAGACTCTGAGTCAGTCAAATTTCAACCTTGCGTACATTACCTTTGGTACAGTTTTCTGCTATCGAGAAGACTGAGTCAGTCAAATTTCAACCTTGCGTACATTATCTTTAGAACGATTTTCTGCTATCGAGAAGACTGTGAGTCAGTCAAATGCTTAAAATGTTGTTAGGGATTCGACGTAATATAACAGTTATAAATAAATACATGTGTGGTGGTAGCCATTGTACAATCCAAGCTATCTGACAAATAGCTGAACCTATTTTTCTATTTTTTTATTGCTTAAATAAGTCAATGAGCTCACGGCCCACCTGATGATAAGTGGTTACCGGAGCCCATAGATATCTACAATGTAATGCTGCCACCCACCTCGAGATATGAGTTCTATGGTCTCAATATAGTCACAACGGTTGCCCCATCCTTCAAACCGAAACGCATTACTGCTTCACGACAGAAATAGGCGGGGTGGTGGTACCTACCCGTGCGGACTCACAAGATGTCCTACCACCAGTGATTACGCAGATTATAAATTTGCGGGTTCGATTTTTATTACACGATGTTATTCCTTCAACGTGGAAGTCAATCGCGAACATTTGGGTACGTATTTCTTTAGAAAAATTGGTACCCGCCTGCGGGATTCGAACACCGGTGCGTCGCTAGATACAAATGCACCGGACGTCTTATTCTTTAGGCCACGACGACTTCATATGTATGTTTGTATTTCTATTTCATTCGAAAGTTGATCGTTCCAGACGACATCGATCGATATATTTTCGTTGGGCTGCGTGTTCTATTACGTATTGTCAAGAGGACAACATCCATTCGGTGATGTTTTGCGGCGTCAAGCGAACATACTCACCGGGGACTACAATTTGGATCACCTCGAGTAAGTTTTGTGTAACATATTTGGTATTTTACAGGAGAGCCGTTTAAAGTTTAAAATCTGGTAAAAATGTTATAACAATAAAATCGGCTATTTGAATGGGTTAAACTTAATTAAATTACAATTAAAAATATATACTGGTGGTAGGACGTCTTGTGAGTCCGCACGGGTAGGTACCACTGCCCTGTCTATTTCTGCCGTGAAGCAGTAATGCGTTTCGCTTTGGAGGGTGGGGCAGCCGTTGTAACTAAACTGAGACCTTAAAACTCATGTCTCGAGGTGGGTGGCGGCATTTACGTTGTAGATGTCTATGGGCTCCGGTAACCACTTAACACCAGGCGGGCTGTTCGTTAGTCTACCAATATACGTAATAGAAAAAAAACCGCTGCATTAAATAATCGTTTTCGATAAATATATAATCTGTTTCGGTTTTTTGTTACAGCAAAATTCTGCCGGAAGAGGAATTGGTAGTTGTTAAAATATTGATCCGAGCTATGATCTCGGCCAAGCCCAGCGCGCGTCCTCCTTGCGAAACGATACTGAAATACCCGATGTTCTGGTGCAAGCAAAGCATTTTGAACTTCTTGCAGGTACGAATAGCGTCTACATCTTGTTGGCTGGAATGTTTTATCACAATCAAAAAAAAAAAGTGTTAAATTATAAAACAAGACACGCTTTCGTCTCGTTTTTTTCTGCATTTCGGTGTATCTCCAAAACATGGCAGACCGTCAATAGTATGCTTCAATAAAACTCTGAAATTATTTTATAGTTACCATTGACTTCATCTTATGTCGGAGTTCGATAGTATGGATCACGAAGTCAATGTATAACGACGGTCCTTCAATCCGGAACGCGTTAGTTTCGCGGCAGAAATAGCCAGAGGGGCGGTACCTACCCGTTCAGGTCTATAAACACCCTACCATCAATCAATGAAAGCTAGGGATCGTATTAGTATAATACTGTATTTTGAGAACAGTGCTGTCAATTCTCCGGTGAATGCCTTTGTCGTATTTTACGACTTCCATGGAAAGAAATGGGTTGGTGTTATTCTACACATCTACGGCATCTTTATACCATAAGGTAGGCAGTGGCTTCGATCTGTCCCTGTCATTACTGAAGTCCATGGATGACGGTAACCACTCACTAAGAAGTGGGCCGTATACTCGTCAGCGTACAATAAAATAAAACTTCAGGGTCACAATTCTCTCTGGTCATCGTTCTCGTCGAACCCGTCGCTTGCGACAAAGGGCTCCACGAGTAAATTAACCCTCAGACACAGCCCACTGAGTTTCTCGCTGGATCTTCTCAGTGGGTCGCGTTTCCGATCCGGTGGTAGATTCTGCGAAGCACGGCTCTTGCTAGGGTTCGTGTTAGCAACTTCGTCAGGTTTGAGCCCCGTGAGTTCACTACTAGTTAAGGCTACGCTGATATATCCTCTCAAGGCTATCAGCTTTGGTAGGAAAAAAAAACAATTCTATATTCGCGTTTTGTAAAAAGAACACTTTAATAATAACGTTGGTTGCATCAGGACGTCAGCGATCAAGTGGAGAGTTGCGCGTGCGGTTTCGGGGCGGAGCACACGCTGGAGCGGGGCGGCGCGCGGGTGCTGCGCGGCGACTGGCGCGTGCGCGTGTGCCGCGTGGTGGCGGGCGACCTGCGCACGCGCCGCACGTACCGCGGGGACCGCGTCGCGCACCTGCTGCGGGCCATTCGGAACAAGGTACCGACACCGACCAGAACACAGAGTCTTCTCCTTCCGGCTCTTATGAAGAATATATATACTACAGAAGGTCGCAGTCACCCTGCCTCCTTATGAAACTAGAACAGTAGATTGGGGGGAATAGGGACTAGAGGTAGAATAGGTACAAATCTGGGATGTCACAATACTTTTGTTGAGTTGTTAGATTTAACTTTGTTGAACTGAAAATGACTTTTATTTAGTGTTTAAAGAATATTAAAAAAAATTAATTTAGTCATCAAAGTTTTGTAAATCATTATGGATGATAAAAAGTTAATTACCTTAAGTTAGGTACCTAAGTAACAACTAAATAGTGCCAGTCCTATCGAAAAACTATTGTCCCGTTAAGCGACCCGATTCACCCCAATCTCTGGGTGAATAGGGACAAGCGAGTTTTTGTGACTTTTTATGATTATTCTTTAATGCATTATAACCGAAAATTTAAACTACCGGAACCATTATAATTTCCGTTTTTTTAACAATAAAAAAAAACGATAAAAATCGATCTCGAACTTAAAGAATGTCCCGATTCCCCCCATTTTACGGAATAAAAAGTACCCATACTACCTGGAAACATCACTCATGCACAGTCCGTTTCTTGAGATCTTGTTAGCCACATGAATCCGGCTTCGGAATGAGTTTATCTCCACGTTGCTACCAGAACACTATAACATGTCTTTATTTATACGAGATTGGAAAATATTTATTCGATAGGCAGTGGGTCAGCTGTACCTCTGACATTGCTGATGCTCATGAGTATCGGTGACTACTCATCAATCATCAAGTGGACCTTATGCTCACATCTATGAAGGAAATAATAGTAATAAAATATCGGCGAACGGGTAGAGAGCATGTTTTGAGCATCGATTAGTCTTGTCCTAAGATTTCTTACTATATTTCGGTTTGACAGATAGGAAGGTCTCATAGTATATTGTGGTTCCTATAGGATTTTATATAACACCATTTAAACCCGTGTAAGTCATTAATACGCTTTTATTAGCTTCAGACGTATGTATGTTAGTATGCAACGGAATTTTTGAACATGATTTTAACCCCCTTCAAAACGTCGGATTAACTCGAAATTTGACATACTTATTAAGGACCGATGACCTTTTTAGTTGGATTTTCTATAAAAGCGTATGTTTTTGGTTTTTTCAAACTATTATTTATTTTCAACGAGCTGAACCGGTAAACTTCGTAGTGCCTTAATGGATAAATAAAAGACCTAAAGTTTTGTATATAATAAACTTAAAACAAACAATCCGTCCGACGGGGGACACATCAAAGTAAAAACAAAATTGTTATTTTTATTTAATTCCGAGCATTTTCATATTTATCTACCTTTTAAACCTTCTCTGGACTTCCACAAATAATTCAAGACCACAATTAGACAAATTGGTCCAGCCGTTCTCCAGTTTTAGCGAGACTAATGAACAGCAATTCATTTTTATATATGATGAGGTCATCAGCGTAAAAGTGGCCTAACCCACAATTTTTTTATATTCAAGTTGGATGACGTATATTCGAATTTATTTAAAATGTAATAAATTTTGATGCAAAACTGGCCTATACATAGTTTCACCCATAGATAACAGGTAGCTTTGTAAACATTATTTTTGCGCGTATTGTTTTTTTGCTTATCCAAATTAAAAATTCATGAAAAATCAAACTTCATTGCCTCCATACTAACTATGGTAAGCTTAGGCCACTTTTGCGCTGACGGCCTCATATATAGATAATACAATAATTACATACATCGTTTTTAGTAAATAACACCCGGCGCTTATTGTCCTTTAGAAACACCACTATCGGGAATTAGAGTCGGACGTGCGCGACAGTCTCGGCAAGCTGCCGGACGGCTTCGTGTCGTACTGGCTCACCAGGTTCCCGCTGCTGCTTCCGCACGTGTGGCTCCAGATGCAACAATACCGAGACGAAGACATCTTACAAACGTACTACCCTCGCACGTACGTCTTCAATCGCGATGACGTCATCGAACTCAACAACGACAAGGACTGCGACTATGAGGTCCCCTCGGAAATGTACGATTCTGAGAGGAACCACTTATTCCTTAAGAGTAGGGTGTATGTCGATAGCAGCCCGGACCGTAGGTACAAGGAGGGGTCTCCTAAAAAGCTTCAAGACTGGAGAAGCGAGGCCCAGGAATTCAGGTTGCGACAGGACGATATCAGATTACGGGACAGGCATTATTATAAAAAGAAAGAGAGAAAAAAGGAGGAGGCGCCTATATGGAGTCTGCCGCCGCAGTGAAAATGTTGTGCACACGTTAAAAATGCACTTGAACTGTTGCTACCTTTTGGTAGTAGAGTAATATATTGATGATTTTGAAAATGGAATATCACATGCAACTATGTGTGAAATAGAATTTAAAAAAATTAGAAGAATCAAAATATAGATAATTTTTAGATGAATTTTAGCAAAAGTATCGATGGTTTATTTATTGAAATTTTTAATATGGGAATTATGTCTGTGGCTATTTACGGCTGAATTAGCCATAATATTATGTATGATAAAAACGCACAAATGTATATAAGAACTTTAAACTTTATTAATGTTTTATTTTATTTATTAACATTTAAATCCTCTTGATATACGTATTTACTGACTTACTTTAGTTTGTAAAATGAATTCTTAAGAAATTTAGATTATGAGATTACAGTCACATAATGTTGCCGATGTTTCTTTACTACTATTTGATTATAGTTGTTTGCACAAACGTAAAAAAAAAAGTGATTTTAGTTATAAGTTAAATATAAGAAAATGATTAAAACACGTACTTAATGTATTCTTTCAGTAAAAAATAAATGTTATAATTATTTATTATTTTTACCAAAATACATTTGACATAAATGTTTGTGGGACCAAAATCTAAATTAAGAAAGCATCGAAATAATGTTTAAATTTTGCCATGACCCCAAAATTGACATTAAGGTTAAGAGATTATAAATACATAAATATTACAAAGCTGTCAAAAATTTTATAACGACTGAAAAAAGGTATAAATTGATATATTTTCAACTTAAATTGTATATTAGTTCTTTGAAATGATTTTGTATACATGCTTAATGTGTTTTAGAGAGATCTAAAAAGGATTTCTCTTTATTTTGTAATTGTTTTTTTTTTATGCAAATGATTGAAATTAATTTTGTTATATGTATAGGTTTCAGCAAGTCAATTGTGATGTGACCGTCTTGGGTAGTAAGACAAGACCAGTAAAATATTACGTTTATAATAATTAATCAGAATATATATACTTATGACTAAGACTTAAGTAAACAATAATGTATTACATAAAAACATTTGGTTGTAATCTTAATTACCTACGGTTTAAGGTACATAATTCTATTTCCAATCCTAAACTCACGTCAGATTTAACATTTAACAAGAAATCTAAATGCGTGTACATAAGACATTGTATATATTTGTTTCGTATCATCCTCTCGTTATAATTGAATTTGAGAACCGAGAGGCTAATTATGTGTAAAAACATTTCATCCATACAATCGTATGTTGTGTATGTTTTAAGGTCATTAGTTTTTTTTTTAATGAGGCATAATACTGAAATTTAACATTTATTCATTGAACTTTCTCAGTTTTTTTACTGAAATGTATAATTAATAAATTAATAAATAATTACAATTTGTTAGCAAATGCACAGAACTAACATTCTGTCCTAATATTTAATTTAAGATTAATGTTCCTTTAATGTTGTTAAGTTGTAAATATCTATTATGTAACGGGCAGTCCAGTTTAGTGTTTAATTAACGGATATGCAGTGGAATTTTTAAATGTAAAGTTTAATTTAAAATTAAATTATTCTTATAATGCGCTGGTGACGTATTGAATTGTTAAAAAATAAGTGTACCTATATATTAAAATGTGGCTATTAATTTGTATAAAGTTTATATTTAACTAGAATTGTTCACCTTTCCCTGACATTGGATTAAATGAATTGATCTAGAAATTTATTTCAACTCAAATATAATTATACATTATTCAAGAAAATATTACTTACAGTATAATATTACATAGTTGAATGTCAGAATAAAATAAATCTATTCCAAGAAACAGAGTGGAGAAGAACCAGAATAAACAAATTCGGTGATCTTATTTTTTTTTAAATTGTTCTTATAATTACCATTTCTTTTGTTCATCTTTCTTTTAAGAATACAAATAAATTATTTTGTGAAAAAATAAACATGATAAGTTTAATGAAATGAAATGGCCTGAATTAAATAAAAGACAGTAAGTACTCAAGGGTGCTCAGTCAGTATTGGATGCACTTGGTTTTTAAGAAAATGCTGTTTTTTTATCTTAGGTTACGTCATCATAGCGACACAAACTAGATACAAGTTTTTAAGTCTACTTATAACATTTTAATCAAGTCTTTTAAGATTCTGTAATCTGCAATGTTTCCGCTGTCGTTTTTTTTTTATTATTGAAGGTTTTCTGGTGGCCCGGAGGCCTTTCCAGTTTCACCAGGACAGGTGAGTGAGCAAGAGCTCAGCCAGGAGGGGTGGGATTAGCTAACAACTGCCCGAGCGGCTCCGAAGGAGACCTAACAACTCGAGAGCAGTTGCTTCGCGGATGAATCTAACTGTAGTGTTTGACTGCGGTGAGCTCGCCTACCAATCGAAGCTTTAAAGACATGACACAACACATTGATCATATTATTATTTTGAATATTCTGCACGAATTTGTAAACGATAAAAGAGATTAAACCTCAAAAGTTGTTTTAAATTCATTAATGTCACTAAAAAGTCATTAGAACAAGACAGTCAGTGTTTTTGTAATTTTTTTACAATGTTCAAACATACTAATTTTTTTAGGATTATAATTCCACAAAGTTAAACCGTTTTATACCTTACCCGCAATTATGGTTTACTCTGCATTGTTCTACTGTATGTCTGTGTCAACTTCATACTAATTTTAGTTTTAAACCTTTTTTTTTAATCTAATAATGGAATAAATATAAATCATAATTAATATATTATGTAAATAAAAAAATCTATACAAAATTGTTAAATTTGGATATTAATAAATAAAGCAAATCTTCTTTTTTAATTATTTATTCTTTATAAAAATGTGATGTTAATGATTAATATAGTCAGTCTTAGAAATAAGATTCGACGAAATCAGGTTGTACTTACTATATTGTTATATAGATAATAAAGATAAGCAATTACTCATCACTATAACTTAAATATTAAATGTCTCAATAACTGGATTGTCAATGACATTATATCATTCACGATAAGGAGAAGGATTCAGTGGTTACAAGAATTTTAATCTGGAAATTTATAAAATTACTTCTAAATTATAACCTTGACTAATTCTGATTTCTTGTATGCAAAACACTTTAATGAGTATTGATAAATTCATAAGATTAGAAAAGATTTAGTGTGACCGAATGCTTGATGATAAGGTTTGACAGTATTCAGGTGATGTTAGAACTTGTGAATATGGCACAAAACACTATCAGCTAACATGAGATGAGGACATTCTTAATTACTAAAAACATGATCATGCTTCCATGGAATGTGGTCTATGTTTGTAGAAAATGGCAGTAATCAACACCCTGTTACACTTAATCCCTAAACTCTTAATTTCTAAAAGTCTAACGAAATTAAAGCTATCAGTATGAATTGGAGTAATCATTATTCTGAAATTATTTCTTAGGTATTAGCATATTTATTCGCATAGTTGTCAATTAGGTCTATTATAGTTAAATGAACTTTATCTTTAGCAACTGCTAAAGCTGTTTTTTCTGTGGCATTAAGTAAAGTAATGTCTGGGTTGTAACTTAGTAATATTTTTGCAGCTCCTATGTTGCCAGTTTCACTAGCGTCATGCAAAGGTGTGTTACGGGCAACATCTATGGCATTTATATTAGCACCATTGTCAAGGAGTAAACGTATGACTACAGTCTTATTGTTAATGGCCGCCAAATGTAAGGGCGTCTGTGCTTTCTTATTACGACAGTTAACATTTGCTCGATTGAATATTAAAATGTTACAAAACTCATCTAATCCGTAACGAGCAGCGTAATGTAATGCAGTAAATCCATTTGAATCACAAACATTAACATCAAAGTCTGTACATGATTCTGTTTTTCTCTTACAATATTGGCATTCACATAATGGATGACAGAGAGAATTTCTTTTTTCCTTATCCGGGGCTATAAAGGCAGAGTAATCTATATTCATGTAGAAACAAGCTAACTTCACATCACCATATGAAATAGCTCTTAATATTCTTTCAATAAGTTTTAGGTTTTCAATGGTCTTTAAAGCATCATTTGTGTCACTACATTTCAAAGTTAAATTCTGTAATTTAAGTGATGTTGGTTTCTCAGATTCGCAACTTATTTTTTTAACTTCAGAACTTGTTATGTGTATATATTCAAATAAGTTAGGTGTGCAGGATTTAAGAACTTGAAGTATTCTCAGATTATGAGCATAATCAAAAGCCGTTTTATGGTAGCTATTTTGAAGGGAAGGTTCGCTCCCATGTTCGATTAGAAGTCTAGCTATACCTTCATAACCCCATTTTGAAGCCAAATGCAATGGTGTGTTGCCACTTTCATTAGCGCAATTAATATTAATCTTTCTTCCACTATGTTCAGCAAAGTATATGATTGCTTTTACACAGTGAAGATGTCCATTATTAACTGCTAAGTGTAGAGGTGTATTTTTGTCAATGTTTTTTTGGTTTATATTTGCTCCAGAGTGAAGAAGCAGTAATAAAACGTTTTGATGACCTCTAGAAGAAGCATAATGTAGGGCTGAACATTCGTTGAGATCAGTTGCATTGATTTCAGATCCCATTTCAAGCAGGGTTTCGACAATTGTGGCTTTTCCATGTATGGATGCCACATGCAGCGCTGTTAAGCCGTGACTATCTCTTGATGTCATAGTGGGACAAGTTTTGAGGAGATTTTTAGAAATCTTGCATTTGCATTTCTTGCAGTTACAAAGAGGATGGCAGAGTTTGTGGTATATTTCAAGATCACTGTCATCATCTTCATCATTAGACAGATCATCAAGACTTATTTTCAATACATTATCTTCATTATTTTGAAGATTTTGAAGGTGTTTCTGGTTTTTCTGTAATATTGTTTGGACTTGTTCGCATTGATTTGCTTTTATGAGTTCAAAAATGTATTCCAAATTTTCTTCTTTGTTATAAGTGTCACTAGTGGATATAGATTCAGTAAGACTGCTTTTTCTCTGCTTGCAACTCAAGTTCTCTTCTGTTAGATTACTTTCATAATAGTAGTAGGCTTCTGGGTCTGGAGGCCCTGTTAATGCACCTGATTGTATGTGTCCAATGACAGCTTCTAGTGTAGTGATCAGAAATGCGCTTTCATCACCATCACATTTTCCAGCACTACTAAACCGAAATTCTTTCATATATGTCAACTGACTGAACCAGTTGGGTAAACCAGATTTTATGACTAGGAACACAAAGACTGGTAATAAATCATCAGCAGTTAAAAGAACAACATTGTTACTTGAATCTATTTTGTTAATACTATTGAGTGCTTGTTTAAGACATACTAATTTTTCGAGAACTGTGTTGTATGTATCGATTTTCGATAATATTTGTTTTGCTTTCGGCACTGTATGGTAAAGGTCTTTCTTAATGTCTAAATCACGAAGTTGTATGTCACACATGTTTCTTATTTTTTTGTTGAGATGAGCATCCTCATAAGCACACGACGTGCAGATGGATTTGAAAATAGAATCAAATAATAAATGCTGCATATAACTTTCTACAGATAATTTTATATTTTCTAGTACTTGTTTGCATGATTTCGATTTATCCCTGAGTCTTCTGTTTTGCAGCGTCACTTGTAAACATTGGGTATAGAGTTCGCTGACAGTATCTCTGAGGGGCCCTATAGCTACAGGCAAATTAGAATGTTTCTTCAAAAAAGTTTCAACATTTTGCTCAATATTATCAAGTACTTGCCGACCTGCTGCTTGTGTCCACAGTAAGTCAATACAATCATTTATGCCTGATAAATATTCTTTAGACACTACTGCGTCGTCTGTTGTTTTAGTAGGTTCTAGAGGAGACTCAATGCACCATACCTTGTACTTCATGAAGTCTTCAGTATAAAATGTTTCTTCGAAGAGTATGTGACTTTGTAACGGCAGACCCTTGGATACTTCCACTGTGATAACTTTGTTCATGACAGTTACCTGCTTTTCTGTCAGTGTATTGAAGTGAGTTTCCGGCAGTTCATCACTGGGTACCAACAAATGAGCGCAGAAATCTTCAACAGTAAATACGCGACTCGTTAAACTTCCGATACGGGGCACGCATATTATCCAAGATTCTGATAAGCAGTGTTGAAATAAATTAGCATATTCGTTCTTTAATTCCAGAAAAAATGGATTCTCAGAGACGATCTCGTCGTAAGTGCCATCCATTTCTGAAAAGTGTTCAAAATTCATGAATTTATAATGTAGCTTTTTATGTTACAATAGTTATCGTGCAGTACATATTCTAAAAAAAGGTGCATACCGAAATAACAACACTTAAAGACAAAACACCCATGTGCGGCCTTGCGGAATAGTCAAACGAAATTTGAAGTATTGGAACAAAACTTTGCAGTCCAGAAACAACCAGTAGGTATGTACAGCTGTTTGGCAGTTGACACTTCTTCTTCTTCTTCTTAATTTTGGCTCGGCACCATTCGTGCATTTGGCCAGTGTCAAGTATTTTACATTTTGTCAACAAAGCGAGGGAAACGTATAACGCGAATTAAAATAATTAAATCGTACCGGGAATTATACAAAAACAAATCAGAATAATTTCATATCTAAAAAATATATATAACAAAAGAAAACAAATAATATTAAACTACANGTCTGGCGGCTCGTTCATAAAAGTATTCAGAAAAAACTTACCCTACGTAGAAAAGATAAATAATAAATATAGGAATAACACTAATCTAAAATTCACAACTTAGAACTATTCTGATTACTAATTACAATAAATCTACAATTTAATTTGAAAAAAATTTAAAAACCGCGCCCGCCAAGTTCGAACCTTTCCCGCGCTTTTTTTTCCAGTTGACACTTGAGAGTAACTTAACTTTCGTAGTCTATGGAGGCTTAGATCCTCTTGCCTTTCCTAATAAGGAAAAATTGCACCAAAAAATAAGTATGGGTTCAGTTATGTTATGGTACGTGCAGGTAGGTAATGTACAACGGAATTTTAAGTGTAATGTAAGTAGGTATTATCATAGCGTTCTGAATGTTTTATAGCCCTTTTCTAGGCGTATGTTATAATTTTGTAGTTGTCTCCTACGAATAAATAATTCGTAGGCTGTCCCCCATTACTTTTACATGCGCCAGAAGATTAGGTGTTGAAGTTTAGTGACATTGCTATATTTATTACTAAAATCGAACTCTTTCACAAATACTTAATTTAAATGTGCGAGTTACTCAAAACGGGTAGCGTAATAAAAATCACAAATTTGTAAGAGCTCGAGGGAGTTACTCTGTAAACTTTTATTGTGGATTATTGATTTATTGGAATTTGCTTTATGGCATTGTACAACTTCTTTATAGTTGAGTAGAAAGCGTACAGCCATTATAAATTTATTCTGGGCTTATTGATTCCAGGATTATACTTTGAGATCTGAATTAATTAAAATGATTCTTGGATTAATAAATTATGATTTTCTGCTGAGTTTAGGATAGTGAGTAACTAACAGTATCCCCATATTTGCCTTCATGAACGATTGTAAGTTGCAAAACGTCTTGTAATAATGAGTAAATTTACCACGCACTAAATGTGTATAGTAAAACCATCGTCAATTTTTGTAATACTAAAAAACAACAGTTAATAATAATCTTACAATTCCGTGTCAGGTGACTTCTGTGTAATATTTCCAAGACTTAGATTTTATACTCCCAGCTGGTCAGTGTCATTAATGGTGTACATAATGTCACTTTTCTTCTAGGTAGACCGAAATAATGTATAATGAATGGAAGAATATGTTAAAATATTCTATATTTCTAAATCAAAGACAGCTTCACTTCAAATTTATTTATTTCATTATAGAGGAGAATCGGATGCACAATATTTTCATTTTTAACAAACTCTAAAATAGATTTTTCCTCAACGACTTATTATTTGATTTGATTACCATTTAGCATTAAGCTTTTACTGCCTAAATATACCCTTGTCAGATACTTTTTTTTATTTTTTATTGCCTTTGTAGGCATACGAGTGTACGGCCCACCTGATGGTAAGTGGTTACCGTCGCCCATGGACTTCAGCAATGCCAGGAGCAGAGCCATGCCGCTGCCTACTCCATAAGTAATATCATATGTTTACTATTAACTAACTGGCGGAGCCCGCGAATTCACCCGCGTTTAGTAAATTGACTCTTGAATTTGTATTTCTTTATTAAAACGGAATATAACAGTTGCTCGATTCAGAAATTAGTAATGTCGAGTATTATTGTAGGCGCACTTATGAATTAAGTTTTTATAAAGTTAAACATATAATTATATTGAAATATATATTGAAGAATATCCGGCAGTTTTTGTGTGATGCGCGTACCAACAGATCATTTGATTTATGCACGAAGAATATTCGTGTGGTACTCAAATGAAATTGTTTACCTGCTGGTTTTGTATCTATTTATGCTCTTCTTGTCCCTTTCTATATTAATTTTTCTCATCTATATTTAGTAAGTTTTATTGGACTTTACTAATAATACTCTTAACCAGTCTTTTATTATATTTATAGAATTCATTAAGTTAATTATCCTCTACCACCACGTCCACCACCACCCACGCCTCGACCGCCAATTCCTCGACCACCAAAACCTCTACCGCCGATACCTCGTCCACCAATGCCTCTCCCGCCAAAACCTCTCCCGCCGAATCCTCTTCCACCAAATCCTCTTCCACCAAATCCTCTTCCACCAAATCCTCTTCCACCAAATCCCCTACCATTGCCCCAGCCTCCAACACCAATGCCAAAACCGCCCCCAATCAAAATAGGGAGTGGACGATCTAAAATACAAACAGCTCTGTTTAAGTACCTATATCATTTATGTACATAAAAAAGTGTGTTTATTGATTAAAAATATATGTATGCGTATAATCATATGTTTTTACAAGAGATGAGGACTATGTAGATGTAAAATTTTGTGAATAATATAATAATCGAGGCTTATTAACCGTTTGCTATCCGTCTAACTGAAATACTTGTGTTGGTAAATGAAACAAATCCTGGACGTTGTTTTTCCGTCTCTTCCAATACCAAAAAAATCTACTAATCTCTCAGTTATTCTTCTTCGTGCTCATAATAATCATAATCAGTTCCATTTCTGTTTTCATACAATAGACAAGACTTTGTATTTGCCTGTAGGGTTTAAGCATTAGCTTGTCCAATAGATGAAACGAACAAAAAAAAAACTAAGTCATAATAAAGTAGTGACCACTGATGATGTTAACCGATGACAAAATTAGTTAACGGTAATTGTTTGTTCTTTTTCCTAGGGTAATAATTGTAAATTGAATTCCCCGATATAAAAAAATGATTTTTTTTTTATAATAACCGTTATTACTCCTATGTGAGCTGGCCCTAATTTCCTATTAGTTTTAGATGGGCTTACTTAGTGTAAAACCAATTAATCGAAAGGATGTTAATCCGTAGTGGAAAAAAATGTTTTATAAAAAAATATTATTATATCTATCAGAAATACGAATTATTTCCAAAGCCTCTGATTAAAGTCTGTTCTGCCGGTAACAATAGTTAGAATTATGTTTTCATTTTTCAAATATTTAACCGGAGATTGTTGTTAGAGAAGTAACAGCTAAAGCGGTTAGCATCACTAGTAGTAGATTAGTTATATTACATAGCCTACTTAGTACTTTTTAGAAAAGTCCGTGTCGAAAATGTTAGACGTTCTGTTTACATGGAGTGTTTAAAAACCAACTAATTTTTATGAACGTCGTACATTTGAATGGTTGTATGATTTCATCGGAAAATAGAATCAAAACTAGAAAATCAACAAATTTAAAAAAAGGATGAAATTGAAAAAGAAATGCCGAATAATTTTTAATCATTAAATGTTATACATATAGGTATGTAACTTAAGCGATATTTGACATTTCCTACCATTCATTTGTTTACTTGAGTAAGGGCAACGGCAAGCGTGGTGTGGTGTTTATTTTTAAAAAGTATGTACCTACGTATATGAAATGATACAAAAAATCTGAGTAAGGTCTGATATATTATAAAATATCACAACGCCTCTTTAAAATTGAGGTATCCAAGTTGATTTATATTTGGATTTAAATGGATTTTATTTGAATAATATTTGTTAACTATACTTACTTCGCCTATTATAATAATAGGGGTCATATCCGAATTGTCGTTTTACTCTCGACAGAGGCTCGCTGTGTCTTCTGTGGTTGACAGCTTCCATTTCATTTCGATCCAATATTAGTGTTGCTAATGGATTTGATTCAATCTCTGCTGGATTCGAAGCTTCCTTTATGTCGATATCTTCGCTTTTTGCGGAATGTATTATTTGCACTCCCGTGTAAAATAACACGAGAATTGCGATGTATATTTTCTGAAACAAATATAAGTCGCATGAATTTGTAGGCAGCGGCTTGGCTCTGTCCCTGGCATTGCTGAAGTCCATGGGCGACGGTAACCACTCAACATCAGGTGGGCCGTATGCTCGTCTGCCTAAAAAAAAAAGATTTTTTTGTCTCATACTCGGTGTAAAGAACGTGTGAATAAACTGTTTCTTTAAATACAATTACAATTTACAATTACAATACAATACTTATTTACGACCAATAGTAATAAATTACATGCGAAAATGTGTTCGTATATTTGTTTATTACGATTTCGAGTTTAAAGTACTCAACTAATTATCACGAAATTTCGTATACATGTTGTACAGAAATATTTTCTGTATTCCAGACAACACGTGCCTTTTATCAAGAAAAAAAGGATTATACGTTAGATAAAACGTAACTTCTATACGGTCTTCTTGCATAACAATTGACCTACTGCCATAAATTAATAGTAGGTACCTAACTTTATGCCTGGAGTACATAAAAATGAAAAGGGAGTTGCGGTATCCCCAAAGAAAATCTAATAACCTGAAAAAGTAGCATCATTAACAATGCGTAAGGGTGTTTGTTTACGCTGTATTGCAAGTAGCATGGATACGTTTCGTAAAGTCATGTTTTTTTCTGGCCAGCTACATTTAGCATGTTTCTATGTTTTCAATGCCCAGAATTTGGCGGCAAATATATAGCGGAGTTTACAAATTTAATTTACGAATTTAACCTAAAAATAAATCGTTTTTAAACTTACCGTATAATATTCCATCTTGTAGCTGGTTAAAGCATTTAGAATTTCCAAATGAAAATTATTCTCACAACATCCTGACTTATAAGTCTCTGAACCAACTTGCTAATTAATTGTGTATATCGCCTCAAAATACAAAATTAAATGGTGATTCAAAGATAGATGACAAATATTTGTAAAAATCCCAGGTTGGGTTTTTTCTACAAACATTGATCTATATCATATATCTATAATAGTAAATCATTTTAGTAGTGCTATGTTGGTCAAATATTGTAAATTTCAACGGATAGGCGCCATCTTTTCATTTTTGCGAAAATTAATTAGACAGTCACGAACGCCGACAGAAATAAAATCGTCATAATAATTGCCTTATCGTTGCCGCCGCTGACTACTCCCCAAATCCTGATGACGCAGAAGTCCGTCACCGTCGACGCCCTAGGATCCTTACGGATCCATCAGATCCAATAACCTTTGCACTAAACGCCTTCAGCTTTAACACTAGGAGCAGGCTTAAGGACCCCGGTAACCATACTCGTCGAACTCGGCAAAGAGTTCGGCGCGCAGTCTAACCCATGCATCAGCCCGCTGAACTTCTCGCTGGATCTTCTCAGCGGGTCGCGATTCTGATCCGGTAGTAGATTCATTCGCGAAGCTGTTGCTCTCAACTCAAGTTGTCAGGTCTCCTTCAGAGGTACCCGGGCAGTTGTTAGCAAATCCCATCCCACCTGGCTGAGCCTTTGCTCGCCTGTCATGGTGAAACTGGAAAGGCCTCCGGGCAACTAGTAATCCTTCAATCCTAAAAAAAAAGAAATACAATACTACTGATATTGTAATCGAAAACCTCTGTGAATAATTATCAAAAACCTATTAGTTTAACTATTTAAAATTGCAATGCAGACAGAGGTTTAGGTTTGAGTTGTTGAATTATTAACTTCAGAGAGGTTGGCTTCACAGATATTTATTTAGATGCGGTTTGGTAAGAGTTGGTAACTGTTAAAATAATGCAGATTGTTGGTGCGCGCACCCTGCGGCCGTATAAATATTTCATAGCATGCGAGCCGGAATATGAAGTGGTTAATTTAAATTCTGACTCGTCTGCGTGGTGCGGTCGAACGCTCTCGGTTATGCCACTTTTTATTTCCACTTTTTTCACCCCACTTCCTTTCAAAATGCACAAGTGGACGGCGCTTTTATTACTCAAGTTGGAGAGGAAAGCAAAACACGATTTTTGTAGCGTCCCTTGAGAGAATTCGAAGTTATTTATTCATGAAAATATGATTTTGTTTGTTTTCAGTCGAGTGGGTGTTGGAAATGAAATATAAAACAATATCTCGCCGAAAATAAAGTGAAATCTAAATCTAAAGCATTGTAACTGATGAAAGGAACTTTTAGGGTTGCTTTATTAATGTAGCTTTCGTAATGGGGTTTCTCCGTCGTTTCGATATTCTCGCAAAGAAGAATATTTTAAAGATTTCCTTTTGTAAAAATAATTAATGTCGATACCTATTAAAGAGGCGTTAAATTGAAATTGGCTAAAGCTTAGATCACGTTTCATGTTCAGACTCGGAGGTCAGATAAAATTTAATATACGCCGTACATAATAACGAATTCTAGTACCTTTTTACGGAGTTCGTGCGTGGTGGATAAGCCTTTAGTGGCGACCGGCAACAATGTGGCATTTTCCCAGAGTGACACTTCTGCGGCGTTCTGTGAATAGAGGCCATTAGAGCTTGAAGCGGCGACGAGAATCGCTGAGCGGTTTCCGTAACATGCCGTTCCGACTCTTGGTGGGAAATCATACGAAATAACTAGGCGTAAATGTGGTTCACAATTTATTTTTTACATGTAAATTCTAACATAGTCTCTAGAATTGTCCAGAATTGGGTCATTGAAATCATGCTATGATAATTAAAGACACGTAAAAACTATCTATACTAATATTATAAAGAGGAAAGATTTGTTTGTTTGTTTGTTTCGAATAGGCTCCGAAACTACTGGACCGATTTTAAAAATTATTTTTCCATTAGAAGCCGACATTGTCCCTGATGAACAAAGGCTACTTTTTTTAATTTTTTTTTTATTATTATTATTTGGTTTCATGTGTGTTTTAATGTTTCCGAAGCGAAGCGAGGGCGGGTCGCTAGTTTACGATAAATTAGTAATAATATTAAATAGAGACTTTTATCAAAACTTCTAAATTACCATTGCCGATTTCTTTAAAGCTACGAATCTAATTGTTGTTGTACTACTCAATAATGTAGTGACGTCAATTCTATGTATGTATAGTTATAAGTGCATCGATAATTTGATTATGTCTATTCAACAAACGCCTAAGCCGAAAAAATAGTTCACGAAAATGCTTAAGGCGTAAAAGCTGGATAAGTCTAACGTCGCGGCAACAAGCATGTACGGACATTTCACGGGCTGCAAGAGGCGAGTTTCTCAGGCGTCGGTTTTCACGCCAACCGCAAACGCTTTGTCACAAAGGCGCAGAGGCTTCCTTGTTACGGAGGCACTATTGTGCTCGTGTATGTATTATTTGTAGAATAAACTCTTGACTATTATTTGATGTACGTATTATATTTGGGTGATGAATTGGAAAGTGACTGAAGAGTTCGCAGGGTATGGTGCCTGACGTATTGATACGAAGAAATGCTGTGTGTGAGTTAAATTCGTTGTAGCAACTTTTTGATGCGTTTCGTTATTGAAGTATAGAACGGTTTATTATGGTGCCATTATCGATCTCAAATCTCAAGACGAATGACGGTGTTTTGGCACCAGTAACCACTTAACAACAGCTTGGTTTTGAGCTTATTTAGATATACACATATCTACATGTAAATTAGGCTACTTGTACATAAGATTCGAAATAAATAAATTACAACTAAATATAGAACTGAAATGGAACACGTTGTCATTATAATATTGTGTTTTCAATCGTTTTGTTTTGTATTTGTTTAGGAGTTTACAGCAAGTCTCAGCATTGAGGCATTTAGAATGATTCAAAACATAAGACTTCGTCATATTCGGTGACGCGTTCACGAAATTAGTAGATACTTCTAAAATGAGTGAGGTTAATTAACACGTTCTTTGAGTACCTTTGAGAAATGTATTTGACATCTAAAGTTACCGTGAACAAATACAGTCACATTTATCGTTACATATTCTAAGGTCATGGTTTTTCTTGTCGTCATGAATTGGAGTCGATCTGCCTATTTGGACAATCTGTATGGGGATGTGTACTGAATTTTTTATTGGTGGGAGGACCTCTTGTGAGTCTGCACGGGTAGGTACTACAACCCTGCCTAGTTCTGCCGTGAAGCTGTAATGCCTTTCGGTTTGAAGGGTGAGCAGCCGTTGTAACTGTGTGGCGGTACTTACGTTGTCGATGTCTAAGGGCTCCGGTTACCACTTAACACCAGGTGGGCTGTGAACTCGTCGAAAAATCTATGCAAAAAAAAAACATTTTTCATTTTCAATGACTGTTTTTTTCTTCGAAAGTTTTTGTATGAGTATCTAATAGTTATAAGACACTTTTTTATATTAAGTTTAGATAAATATCATTCGGTTTGAAATAATTTCTAACTTCAGAGCAGAGCGAGAATGTTAGAAATTAATCACAGAGTAAAACACAGACAAATGCGTTAATCTATGCATGCGTTTAGTTACTTTACTGAATTCCCGTTCGTTACCACGTTTAATTTTTTTTATTTTAATTTATTTCGGCTGTAGATATTATGCCCCGGATGGACCGTGATTGGTCACTGCAGCTTAAAGGTATGGGCAACGTCAGGGATACAGCTAAACCGCATTACAGTATCCGTATTAAAGGATAAGTTTCGGCAGCAAACATAGTAGGACCTCTTGTGAGTCTGCACGCGTAGGTACCAGCGCCCTGCCTATTACTGCCGTGAAACAGTAATGCGTTTCGGTTTGAAGGGTGGGGCAGCCGCTGTAACTATACTGAGACCTTAGAACTCATATCTCAGGGTGGGTGGCGGCATTTACGTTGTAGATGTCTATGGGCTCCAGTAACCACTGAATACCAGGTGGGTTGTGAGCTCGTCCAGCCATCTAAGCAATAAAAAAAGGTCTTAAAAATGGTTTTGAAGTTAGAGCTTCAGAATTTTAGCGCAGTCGAAGTTAACATATACTCAATAACTAGCGGACCCGGCAGACGTTGTCCTGCAAAAATTCATTCAAGTCGATCCAGCCGTTTAGTTGTAGTATAGATAAATAACCTAGATACCGGTTGCAGCGGCATCTGCCGGGCTGATTTGTAAATCTAAGCCATCCAGGGTGCCACCCAAACGCACTAAAAAAAATCATTCAAATCGGTCCAGCCGATTATGAGGAGTTCAGTGACAAACACACGAACAGAAGAAATATATACATAAAGATATTTAAAAATTCCACTTTTAATTCTATATCAAAACATCACTATATAAAAAAAGTACTAAGTACGTCATTTTATTTTCATAATGTAACAGACATGACTACTTTGCAATTACATAACACTCACGACCTCCTTGTTACCGGAGCACGTAAGCTTAAAAGAGGTATACAGTTCTATTCAGTTCGTAGTCGGAAGCAGAGCTGCACTGCATCGCCACTATCGGGTCCCTAAAAGCGTATTCATGTCCATCGTTAAAGTTTTTCGCAAAGCTGCCACCGCAGAAAGGTTTTCTACAGCTATTTGTTTGGCTCATTTTCGTGGAACCTCTCTTGGATACGGATTAGGGTTATATTTTTTAGTGCCAGCTAGTTAGCACATATGAGTTTTTGTTAATTATCTTTATGTATAAAAATGAATTGCTGTTCGTTAGTCTCGCTAAAACTCGAGAACGGCTGGACCGATTTGGCTAATTTTGGTCTTGAATTACTCGTGGAAGTCCAGGGAAGGCTTAAAAGGTGAAAAAATTTTAAAAAGCTCGGCATTATATAAAAACAAACAATTTTGTTTTTCCTTTGATGTGTCCCTTTCATGTGTCTTTTATTTATCGATTGAGGCACTACGAAGTCTGCCGGGTCAGCTAGTCTTTTTATATATATCTCTTCTGTGCGTGTGTTTGCCACTGAACTCCTCCTAAGCGGCTGGACCGATTTGAATGATTTTTTTGGTATGCGTTTGGGTGGCACCCTGAATGGTTTAGATTCACAAATCAGCCTGGCAGATGGCGCTGCAGTCGGTATCTAGGCTATTTATCTATACTGCAACTAAACGGCTGGATCGACTTGAATGAATTTTTGCAGGACAACGCCTGTCGGGTCCGCTAGTTATTATTTAGAAAAAAAGTGTGTGTCAATGTTTTATGTAGTTTTTTTCTGTGATTTTTCACGTATGACGTATTTTCGATAATTTTGGCTAAATTTGGCACTTAATTTTTAGACCTAAGGTGATAATTATGAAAATATTTGCAAGTAAAACAAACCATTAAAAAATTTAAAACTATTAAAAAATTATTTGTACCCAAAAATAAAATGCTTAACAACAACTATAAGTCATAATCAGAAAATTTCAATTTTCTTCAAAACAAAATCACCGTTTATTGAATTAAAAATATCAAGATGGAGTCTTTTTATGCAATTGAATTTTCCGAAGCCAAATTAAGGATTGTTTGTTTGTTATTAATATTTAATTTTGTAATTTATCTCGTTTAGTTTTTTGTCTTTAAAATAATATTTAAGCTTCGACAAGTCTTTATTGAGTGTAAGGAGATCTCCAAAGTTTTGTGCATTAATATCCACTTTCGCACTACATTGTTTTGAATATCAAGACAACTCACTTGAAGGTAGGTACTTCAATCCTATAATCTATAATACTTTTATTTATACTAAAAAAAAGAACATAATATTCCTAACCTAAAAGTACATGTTATTATCCGCAACATGCTTCGTCAAAAAACGACAAAATGGTTTGACTGTTTCATTATGCATATAACGTGATTCTACAAATTTATGCAGTTTCCCAGTATGTCGATAGAATCGATATTCTCTAGATTGAGGTGTGCGTGTGCATAATTTCCCAGTATTCTGAACGGTAGTGTTATCAGATATCCGTGGTGTATTCAGGTCGCTGCGTTACGAATTTATCCTACATCATGAGAGCGTTATTACGAATCGAACCTTGCCGAAAATGATGCCTTTTAATTAATGTTACGCGTTAATTACGACTGAAATCGGATTTTGATTAAAGCGATAAAATATACGTGGAAAATATATAATCAAAATACAGCTCAAAAAAGGTTTTAGTATTGATGCCGTTGATTTACGAACGAAAAAAATTAAAGTGCCGTTTTATTTTGTTAGTGAATGTGGCGGGTAGCCATCATACAACGCAAGATAATTGACAGATGCTTGAAATTCGCTTACGACATTTTCAAGATAAAGCGTATATAATATACAAGATCCGAACAACGACATTCGGATCGTCGGTCTACCGAGCAGTATCACCCGCTCGGTGGAAGATCTTCGATTCGTCGTTAAACTTCCCAAAGTGAACAAATGAAATAAAGCAGATTCCGTTGTGACTGTCATTCAATGTATGAAATTCATGTTAGTTGATGCGTTTATTCCATTGTATTGCTCTCTTCAAGTACCACCTTCTAGCAAAGGCAGCTGATTATTAAAGTAATTTGACCCTTAACCCCTCTGTTTAAAGTTTGTAAATAAATAACGGGTCGTTTTACCGTTTATTAAGCGCAGGTTCTTAGGACACTATATTTTCCTTCTACTAACACTTCACTTTCCTTGTAAGGTATGTAATCTCAATGTGCATTTTAAAATACATGGTATTTTC